ACAAGAGTGTCCTACAAGAGTGTCCCACAAGAGTGTCCCGCAAGAGTGTCCCACAAGAGTGTTCCACAAGAGTGTCCTATAAGAGTGTCCCACAAGAGTGTCCCACAAGAGTGTCCCACAGAGTGTCCCACAAGAGTGTCCTACAAGAGTGTCCCACAAGAGTGTCCCACAAGAGTGCCCCACAAGAGTGTCCAAAAAGAGTGTCCCACGAGAGTGTCCCACAAGAGTGTCCCACAAGAGTTTCCGACAAGAGTGTCCCACAAGAGTGTCCTACAAGACTGTCCCACAACAGTGTCCCACTAGAGTGTTTCACAAGAGTTTCCTACAAGAGTGACCCACAAGTGTGTCCTTCCCAGAAGAGTGTCCCACAAGAGTGTCCTACAAGAGTGTCATTTGGATGTATTAGTTTTTCGAACGTGTTTGCATTCGGGTTCGTGGGTTCCATCTTGTTTGTTTTTTTCTCACTGCTCGGACAGATGCGAGACAGCTTCCGGTTTCTTAAGATTCTTAAGTGACCATTTGATACCCACGTTTTTGAGCTTGGCCAATAGGTTCACTTGAACACTCCAAAATGGGCACTTTGAAGAAGCTGGTTGCTTCATGTAGACTCTCCATCAACAAAAAAAAGCTCTACCAGAATGGTTCAGTACATTTCCATACGAGTGGTTTAACCAAAAAAGAGTCATCCCACTAGTATTGTCAATAGATGTCAATATAGCAATGGTCCTAAACAACGTTTGTTTGGCCTCTTAAACCGTGGGTCCATACGGTCCATGGCCTTAAGGGCAACAGATCTCAAACCGGCCAAAACCAGAGCTGAGAGTAGGGAGATGATGACCCAGCTTCATCAAGGAATGAAGATCCCACGTTTTCCCTCCCTCTCGAGAGGTATGTCTTGGAGAGCGCGGGGGAGACAGGTAGGTGAAAATTGGCCAGCGCAGGGTGTTAGCTCAGCTACGCAGTGGGCACTGGTGAAGCTGAGATCGTGTAAAGCCTCAAAAGCTGATCCTGGGAACTGATAGAACACCATGTCAGGATGATTTGGGTGCCCCCATTGCCATGCGGGGGGCTCTCCAAGAAGGAATATTTTGGTTGAAACGCCTCCTAGTTGACTCGAGTGCCTGGATCCTGCTGTTTGAAGGGGGAAGGATTGTAGCCTTCAGAATCCCTTTGATTATCCGTGTTGGTCAGTATCTAAGACAATCCCACTCTCCAGTTGAGCCTTTGGCAGAAGCTGAGGTGGTGCAAGTGGAAGGCCTATGACGTCTCGGCCGTTTCAGTTGGCATCCATCGGCGATTGCTACCACAATCAAAATGCTACCACAATCAAAATGCACTTGGAGCCGGTTCCGAATCCGAATCCGAACCCGAACCGGGTGAAGCCCTCCGTTTGGCTCATCCGGTCGAGGAGGTCCGAGGACCGGGTGCGTACCGCCCTGCCCCGTTTTGCGGAGCGGCGAAGAACCCGTCGGATGCACCGGTTTTGGGGGGACATGAACTTTGGATGGGTTCTCCGGCAGAAGCTTGGGAAACAGATCAAGACGCACACCAAACCAGGCCACTTCGCAGGTCCATATGGGCCACTTCGTAGGTCCATTTCGACATATGTTGTTTCACTTCTTGGAATGGTGCACCAAAGATTTATCCATCCATCATAAATCATTGGACGCCAGTCAGATGAGTCAGCCAGCGCCTGTTTTGCTTCTGTCGTTTCGCTGCTCCGGAGTCAGCTTTTGGTGCCAGGCCACATGCAGACCATGCTCACTGAGATCAATCGAGTTTGCACAGAGGTGCCATTGATGGGCCGGAAGATGTGGGTGATTGGCGCTAAGCAGCCCAGCCAGTTGCTGTTCATAGTTTTGTCTTCTGAAAGCACTGAAAGCAGTGAGCATGTTTGGAAATTCGAAGGGATGTGGCACAGGACCAAGGGCCTTTACATGCTTGATGACAGTCGCTGACTTGATGCTTGTTAGGACTTGTTATATAGGGGGCATTGGGTATCGCATCACATCGGGCATCCAACCCTCACTTTCCTCAGGGCCGGCAGCCCCCATCGATGCGTGGACTGAGACTGGAGAACCGCTCTCAAGTCATGGCCCCAAGAGCCCCAAACGAGAGTAGGTTGACATCCCAGCTAGTCTATTCTGTTCACCATGGAACCACACACATCCACACACACACACACCCATGACATTCCATGCAGACACTCCATGTTTATCAAACAGATTACGTTATATACGTGTACCATATTTTACATATACAAGATGTCTCTCAGGATCCACCCCAAGGTCGGTGGAGTGGATTGAGAGTAGATGGCGGACCCTCATCTCTTTAGAGATCGCGGGGGGTGTGCCGTTTACTCTGAAACCCCTGCAAACATGTCAGTACACATGGAGCCTTTGGCACGCAAAGGCGTAAGACAAGATTACAATATTATTTAAACACAATTTAACCCATGTCAACCACCTTTTGATGGGGAAGAAGCCGTCTAAAATAAGAAAAACTATATAAATATAAAACAATGTTCAACATAACGCATCAAAAAATCATAAAACATCTATACACGGTACTTTCTTCTGTGGCTGAGAGCTCCTTCTGCCGGCACCTGTCGGGCATGCAGCACCCCGATGCTCAGCTGGGCCGCCCCATGCTCTACGCGGCCGCGGGCGATGCCACGACCACCGCCATGACGGTGCAGGCGGGTCGGGACCTGGGTTTGGGTGGGAAAGACCCACTTGAACTGGAAAGAGTATGTGGATGTATGTGGGTCTCTTTGAAAATGAGGAGTGATTGGAAGCCGGCCTTGGTTTCAGAGAGTGAAGACGAAGACATACATAGGCGTCATAGGCGGCTTTTTGGGGATGGGTCAAAACTTGGAGCCCCAACACCATATAGTTTGACCTTCCGGGTAGGTCAACCAAGATTGATCTTGAAGACCACTCAGACTTGGCTTTGCACCGGTTCGAGCAGCGCGGACACTCGGTCTCACGTAGTGACGTAGTGGTGTTTCTTGCCGTGTACAGATTTTCTTGCATGTTTGTGTTGTACTTACCCCATACTCCCCAACTCACTAAAAGGTGAAGGGCTGTGGGAAGCGTCAGACTGGAGGGCAAGTCACGTCGGTAGGTTAACCAAGGTATCCTGTTTCCATGACCCACAGCCATTTAGGAGACACATGACTTTTTGCTGCTGGCGCTAGGGGCTACATAAGTTTGCTTGGACATGCGAAATGCGGAGGGTGGTGAACTGAACAGTGACGGGGTGTTTGTTTTTCCATGTTTTTCCTTGGAACTCTGAAATCCACCAACTGGCTGTTTGTTGAGGCTTCAAAGGATTCGAGTCCACACAACAAACCCAGGGTTATACAAAGGGCAGTAAGGATTTTTGTTGAGTGAAGGGAGACAAGAGCACTTTGTCGTGGTGGAACCTCAGATCGGGGAGAAGGGCGCCATCATTTGCCAATGGTTTGCATCAAGAGCCCTTTGGCTTGACCCAGGCACTTTTGAGAGAAGACCCTGGCTATTCCTTCGAGGCAGCTGGTGAGCCATCACTGCTGTATGAGGCGGTTTAAGGTTGCTAGGGAAGATAGGAGAAATACTTCCATACATCGCCAGCTGGTATCCCAACCTTGGTTTGCTCCAGAGCATTCACTTTCAGCCGCTAATTTCCCCGCCGCTCTTTGTATTGATTCTGCATTTTTTAAGTAATGCGCAGATGAAATGAAATGCTGCCCTACTCCCCAATAAAATATCTAATGACATCCAATGAACATATATATATATACGCTTTTGAGACTAGTTTTGTATGAGCACCCGCGGCCAGAGGTTTGGACGCATGGACACACATGGTCTCCGTAGTCCACCGTCGCGGCAGTTGGTTTGATGATGTTTTGTGCTGATCATTGCATTTCTTATCAGCACCACGAACATCCGACAACAATACCCCGCCTTGGCATGCCTTAATTCAAGACTATTAACATGAAACGCATGAACCGCGTGCTTCATTCGGGGTGAAGCGGGGGTTCGATTCAACCCGAACACTCTGTGGTTTCCTGACCTATTCACCAATCACTTGGTGTTTTCTTGATGTTTGGGAGCAATGATCAATGCAGGCATTTCTGCTTGTTTCAATTCATTTGTTATGCCAGTCCCTTGATGTCCCAGACGGGTCATGTCGGATCCCCCCAACTCGTCTCACCGGGGTGACCAGGCGACCCAGCAGGATCCGGTGGTCTCCCTGCTGGGCGGCGTGGGGCGTGACCAGCTCGGCACGGGGGCCCGAAAAGGTGACCCGACGCTGGGAGAAGATGAGTGCCCACAGAAAGGCATAAGGATGAAACAAGGAGCTTTGAATTGCCTTCTACTGATATAAGGCGGGAATAGTACATATATATATATACTATACTATAGAATGTATAATTAGTGTAGGAGGTTTCAAAGCTTTTGTCAGGTCTCTAGGTATGGAAAGAAATCTAGAACTACATCAGGCACACCATTCCATATTAGATTTCAACGGGCGGGCAAAATTTGTTTGAGGACTTGAGAGGCGGGAGTCCTGCAACGGGGTCAATGTCCTCAAGTTTGACCACACATCCCAACTTTACGCCATAAGTCCGGTCAAAATACCCCAACCATGGGATGGTATCGCAGACATCCGTGGGTGGGGATGCTTTTGACAAGTGTTTGCGGATGTTTCCGGTGAAGTTCAGCGCCCTGGGTCACGCAGAGATGATGTCTCGAATGCCACTGAACTGGTTCCTTGGGAAACTAAGCCAAGCATTCTGGGAGGCTACAAGCTGCAGGACTACCTCAACAAGGTGGGTCCTGTGCGGAAAAAGAACGCTCGGTTTCAGTGTGCCGGTCATATGTGGTCCGGTCAAAGTATGTGAGCTACAGTGGTTTCAGAGTAGATGGCGCTGGCACCCCATGATGTTCTTTAGATGGGAGTCCATATAAGCCACCTCTTGGGGTCTGTGCCATCTACTCTCAATCCACTATACTGATGAGCGAAAGGAACCGCTTCTTCCAGCGCCTGTGAGTCGAACGGGCTGGTTCCCCAAAAATGTCGACACGGGCTGGGACATGAGAGGTCGATGTATATTCCAATGGAGTCGTTTTTGTTTCCGTTTTTTTGTTTAAACATGTTTTGACCAGTTCCTTTATGGGTTTCACACCGCCATGTAAGTCAGACTTTGATGTTCTAAATGTGGAAGTTTCAGCCATTTAGAGTGACTCGGAGCCCAAACAACTAAACAAAGCTTGCTGCAGCTGTAGTTTGTTGTTGCCCGTGCTTTGGTAGAAACACATTGTGGGTGGTGCAGCAATCACCTTTGAAGCACCAACGTGAGTATGAACTTGCAATGAGTTCAAGACAAGGATGTTTGTAAACTCTGGGTTTCTCCTCTGAGTCACATCCGTCAACGCCCACCAGGAAATACATACGCTGTATTCATTCATTGCAATATGATGGTGGCAATCTCACGTAGAAAGAATCACTCACATTGTCAGGGTCGCACAAGCGTGGCTCGGTTTCCACAATCTATTTCATCGCAGAGTGAACCCCTTGGGAACCCTGACTATAGCCCTATACAGTAACGAATGACTTTCACATTTGAGTTTATGGCGGCTTTTCAGGAGCCAATGCATGAATACACCATCGGAAAATCTATAAACATGTGAACTATATTATGAACTTCTCTCCCATTATGAACCTTAGTTGAGACCCATTCCTTTTTAAACGGAGATGCTGTTGGAACAACTATATGAGCCTGGCCAACCCAGGAACCTCTCAACCCCAAAACCGTGTTGGCGCGAAACCATGGCCGGTCTCCACGCCCTTCGGAGCGTCTCGACGGAGAACGTCGCGCGGGACGTTCTCCGCGGCCAGAATGGGATTCAGCCCTTGCTGAGCGAAATCGTCAGTGAGCAAACCGGTTGGACGGTGCCGGACCGGGGCAGATCCGGGAAGGAGCCGGTGGCGGCCGGTCCCGGTGCGACGCTTGGCGCCGGGAGCTGTTTTTTTTCTTGAGGTGAAACATAATCGTTCAGGAGTGAAACACTAGATTTTCCATCAGGTGCATTGTTCCTGTTGTTGTCAAGTTTGTTGTTGTTGTTGTTGTTGTTGTTGTTGTTCTTTTTTCTTCTTCTTCTTCTTCTTGTCGTTCCTGATGTTTCAGATCTGGATAACAGTTTTCTCAGGGTCAGCGGTTGAGCTTTTCTAGTGTGGGAAGACCGGGGCGTCAAGTTAAACGTTCGCAGCAACCCCATATCCCATGACAATGGACGACGCATGTTGTGATAAGAGACACACAGCAGCTCGAGTTAGGCTCCAATAGGGACTGTTTCTAGTGGCAGACCCTTAAAAAAAAGAGGCGGGCACAGGTCCATATGGTGGGACACTCCTCGTATGTGTTACTGCATATTCTCATGACAATATTCCCATCACATAGCAGGGTGGGGGGCCCCTAGGGCCTAGGGCTCCAACCACCCTTTCAAAAGGTGCTTGGAGTGGGTTCAGAGAGTTTACCGGTACTTGGAGCCCTAGGGTGGAGAGTTCTACGGAGCTTCCTGAGCCGCAACTTGCCAGGTCTTCCTCCTGCCCCTGCGCATGGACGATGCGGGCGCCAGCTTCGACCGTCCCATGACGTGGGGGGCCCACGTCGTGAAAACGGTGGGCCACGTGGTTCGCTGGGTCATGGGAGCAGCGCCCAGATAGCAAAGCAAAGGAGCAGAATCAGGGCCATGGGATCCCTTGGGCCGTGTGATGGTTCGGTTTGGGGAAGCGGATGGAAAGAAACGGTCGGTGCGGTTGCCATCATGAAATCCCATCCCTTATAATGCCAAACACCTCCGAACTCAGAACCCGGCCACTTTAGTCATAAATTTGTTCATGTTGCGCTGCGTGATTTAACCCATAAATGGAGCTTAGTTTGCTGTAAGACCGTGGAGGAGGGTCTGCCCAGCATGCTAAGAAGGATTTGACATCCCTGGAAGGCGATGTGATTCTTTACAATCCATGCATGGGTGGTCATTGTGCAATTTGAGCGCATCGACAGTCCCAGTCGCCAGTTGGACGCGATGGCTCTACTACGGCTCCTTTATTGAGGGCCATCTATTTTTCTGAGGGGGGCTCCTAGTCAAGGCAGAACAGGAAGAAGGAGCAAGCAAACAAGAAAATGAGCTATGAAGGAAGTTTAAGAAGGAACCCACTCGAGGGCCCGAGGGTAAAGTTTGGAGTCTTTAGAGGATGGAGACATGTTATTATACCTGAACATTGGAGGATAGAGCCGGAAGGAACCATTGGAATGCAGCGCTCCTTTTGTAGGCCACCAGAGTGTAACATGTAGAACTGGGAGGAACCATTCCAGCGTAGGGCCGCCCGAGGGCCAGATCTACAGCTGAGGAACTTGCTTTCTGTTCTATTTGTTTACGCTTCGGTGTTCTTTGTGGAGGGGGGCGTGGACACCCACGCCCTCCGCATCCCTCCCACTGCACTGCCGGCTCGCAAGCTTGCAACCTGTCCGATGTCGTGCCGGCCGCGAAATCCGACGTTTGAGGGCCACACTCCCCTGCACATACCCAATTCAATCCGGGCCCCTCCTTTATTTATGATCGTGTTGGATGTTTCCGGGAGGTGGGAGGACTGGGAAGAGAGTAGTTCCAGGAACAAGTTTGCTTTCGTTGGTCATGCCAAGGGGCTTGGCGGCCCCCACTGAGGCCGGAGAGAGCAGGGAGTGTGGCAGGGAACAGGGGAAGATCTCAAGCCCGTTCGGCCTGCGTAATCATCCTGGAGTCAATGGTGCTAGCATATGGTTCCTGACTGGCTATCGGCCGACAATCAGGGGTTGACTCGTTAATGCCACATGTAACTTGTAACCACGTAACCTTCCAATTATTCATAACACAAGATTAACGCCCATTCTGCCGCATTCTTATTCTATGAGGATCAGCTCTTGGGGCACGAAAGCTACTCAGTCCAAGTGTCATATGTCATGTTGCTGTTCGTGTTCAACCTTGTGGTTCTGTTTTCCTTTTTGTCTTGGCTTGCGGTTTTTCCACTGGGTTGCTGGCCAGCTCCCAGTGGAAGAGTGAAAGTCACCCTTTGACCCCCTTTCCCTGCCAGACCTTTCGTTCAGATGCCAAGGTTCCTGGCTTCTCCTGTGGGACTTGCCCAAGGGTGTCATTCGGGGCTCCCAAACTGCTCCAGGAGAAGAGTGAGAGCAACGTGAAGTCGGGGGTGGTCTATCGTGCCATTCAGGCGACTCGTGACATGTGTGGCGGCTTTGCGTAATAATTTTATATAATTGTTGATTTTCCGACAATGGAGTTACTCGTATATATATATATACACAATTATACACAGTATATATACAATACTCAAAAAGTGAATCTGAAAACAACATAATGTGCGATCCTGATTAGTAAAGGGCCCCCCCTCTCAAACAAAGAGGAGACCCTCTATTTAAAAAAAAAACAAAACTATCACCAAAACAAATCTGGATTCCTGTGAGAATTCCTTTTTGTAATTGATTGTAGTATTCATTTTCCTTTCATAGATTGTATTCAGCTTCCTTTCTCAGGTGCTTTGTAAATTTGTTTAGGAGCAATGTTTTATAAAGGGTTTAATTAGGAATTGGTGGTTTTGGCCAGCTGTCAGTTTTGAAGAAACCTAGAGAAAGCTATATCAGCTAATGAATCATAATCATTGGCCTCAGAAGGAATTCAATCCCTTATTAATTAGGTTTCCAATTTAAAAATTTAGGGTCCCCAAAAACAGTTAGCATTATTCAGGACCCATTTTTCAAACATGGGGGTCTGAATAAATTTGGAACATTTTAGCATTATAGAGGACCCCTTGACTAATCGAGATCCAACATTAAAACAAAATGTTGTCCCAACGGGGGGTGTCCGACAGGCAAACGTGTCCGACCACGGAACAGGGGGGTTGCGAGGGGCTGGGGACAGTTTCGTCCGTGTTACGGCCTTCGCGTACATCGGCCTTCGCGTTCCGCTGTCGACTTTGTGACGTTTCGTTCGCGTTACTACTCGGGTAATTCGACCTTCGCGTTGCTTTTTTGGCTTAGAGGACATTTGTGTGTTTGTGTTTGTCGTAAGTTCTGTTGTTGCGTTTGTCCGGTTTGAGGTGGCCTTCCCCCAATGAGCATTTGAGGTGCCTTTTTTCACGGCTGACCCAAATTTGTTTGGATGCCCACATTGACGTTTGTTCCCGTGTTTTTGGATCCAACTGTCTCATTTGTTCAGGAGCGTTCAGCTTTCATGGTTAAACTGTCGGTCACCCTTACGTTTCGATCGTTTTGTCGATTTTCGTTTGGTCTTGTTCGATGTTTGGAATTCTCGCGACCTTTCTTGTGGAGTGCATTCTGGGTTCTTTCGAGACGTTTATTGCAAATCAGACATGTCCTACGGAGCCTGTGATGGACACGCCATGTGTCACGCCGGAGCCGCTTGCATCCGACCCAGAGTTGGAAGCGCGAGAGCGTTCGCCGCCTGGGGCCATGCGGACCACGACTCTGATCTTAGACTCGCCCGACCCCATTGCCAAGCGGTCTGAGTGGCAGCCAGTGATCAATTTGACAGAATCACCTGCACGGTGTTCTTCGGACGCACGAATGCCGACCATGGAGGAACCAGTTTTCTTAAATATGGCAATTTTATGGTAGTTGTTCGGACTTCTGAAAAATTTGTTCCCGACCCCTTGTTCTCCGACAACATTTCTCCGATAACATTTCAGGAAGACGAGTCGTAGTCTTTATCACCACCGAATGGATTTGAGAGCCCGCCGCACTTGCGAGCAAAGATCGGTCATTGGACGAGGATCAAAAGCGGGCTGCTGGCTCTTCTCACGAGTCTTGTTGGCAATTCTGCGAATCCCCAGTACAAAGACTCCTGTTTTTTAGGCATGACTTTTTCCTTATGAATGAAGCTTCCTTGGCTCTTCATCTCTGAGCCATGAAAGGCAACTTGTTACGGACAGACACAGGTATGAATCTGGTGGCCCAAGCCTACTTCCAGAACTATTGCCACCAGCAAAGGCACGAACAGGAAGCACTGAAAACTTGGCAAATGATATGCTGCTCAGAAATTTACCTCCAGAGCTGATAGAGGTGCGCATTTTGAGGCAAGTGGATTTTCCGACTGTTCTGGCCAGGTCCGAGAAGCAATGTCTCTTGTTGCTGAAGATGGCTGGTGTTTTTGGAGGACGACGCAGCAGACATTGTTGCCCAGAGCCTTCCAAGACACATGTTCACAGATGTGTCAACCCACAATGTTCGGGCGACAGACCACGTCTGCAATCGCGGCCGTTCTCCTTCAATCCTTCCGGAGGACGTCACAGAGGAGGCCATCCCAAGGACTGCAAAGGTTTTTAATGTGCGCTGCGTACTTGTGCTCGTTGAGATGCCCTCAAGATACGTAGTGGCATATGCTGGGCCGTTCAAAAGACTGCACAGACTCAACTTTTCGACAGCTACGCATGTGCGCGGCTTTCGCGCAACTGCAGAAGCGTAAAGCCATGTACATTGACCGCCAAAACAAAGGCGCAGTTGCGCAAGAAACCTGCAGCGCGATCTGGGCGAGCAGCCTCCAAAAAACCCGTCTCCATGCCCGCTGGCCGCTTTTTGTGGCTGAAGCATAGAACGACTTTGACCAAACGGATTACCAAGAAAGGCGCACCAGGACCGCCTGAGAGCAAGGTTGAAGTGTTGCCACTGCTGCAAACGAAGCTCTGCAGCACCAACCGCGCCACGGGCAGTGACGTTTCCAACGGCCTACAGGGTGCTTATACTGCGATGAACTTGACTGCTGCAAGACACTTGTCCGCCAGCTCAAAAGTACAGTGACCTGTCATGGCTCAATATGGCAGAGGATTGATGTCTGTCACGCAAAAGAATCTTGGATGTGCAGATCATTGAACAGGTGGGACGACGGGAGAGGCACGGGGACGAGGCTCACTGGTCTTTACTCAAGTTATCGGTGGACTCCAAGACGATCAGTTGAGTGTCTCGAAAATTAAAATACCCAGTAAAACATATGGCTGTCTGGCCTGGCAAACTTGTTGTGTTTGTAGTTGTGCCTCTGGACATGGGAGAGAGAGAGAGAGAGAGAGAGAGACAGAGGGGGGGGGAGGGGGGAGAATGTTTCTATGTTCTGGCAAACGTTCCAATATATCACATAACATCCGGCGTGCACAAAAATCACGTGTTCAAGTGAGCTGCATGTTGAATGAATGTTTGTGATGCAATGGATGTTCGCAAAAAATGCATTTCCTGGACATTTTCATGGGGAGGGCGACGGACAGAGACAAAAGACAGATAGACAGACTGAGAGAGAGGGGTTGCAATTGCCCTGTATTCCTTTTCGGTCATTTTGGTGTGGCCGAGATTGGCTGCCCAAAGGCCAGTCTGAGAGAAGATCCTCGCAAACTACCCAGTGGTCCGTTGCAGGGTAAATCGTGTATTTCAGGCGAGGTCTTCGACGTTCTGCGGAATATTGGTTGGTTCGGCTCGTTTGTGACACTGGCAAATCTACTAAGTATATTAAGCTAATAGTTTCTATGTCCCGGTCTCTGATTGCAGTGCACTCCATAAAAATAAGACTAATAAGGGAAGATTCATGTTGGGAAACAGGGTCTTACTATATGGAGTGCACTGAAATTAACCCGGCGATGCAGTGGCATCTCAGGCTGGTGCTGCCAACCAGCCTGTGCCTCAGAGTTCATTCATTCTGCTAGCAGGATTACATAATAAGTTTATTTTGTTTATGATCAAGTCCCTTAGTTCATTTACAATAGGCACTTAATTTCTCTGCAGTGAATGACCTTCTGGGATCATCCGTTCAAAGCAGCTCAGAGGCCATCAATGATGACACCTTTTAATCTCAGTCCCTTCCATACAGTTCAGTTCAAGTAATTCCCAGCTTTGGGTTTTGTGTTTGCTGTAGAGGGTTCCAAGTAGCCCCTCGCCACAAACACATATTGTCCACGTTTTTCTTACGGCCTAGGGTAGATTTTCCCTTTGGTGTAACATGCAGGGAATCTATAGGTCTTTAAGTTATTTTTTGGCTGGGGGTCCTTTTAACGCATCCGAGTAGTGGATGAATGGTGAATCCACATCAAGCTGACCATTCCTTTCAGATTCATCATGATTCATCCGTGCCATCAAAAGATTGCTTCCACCATCTCCCACGAGAATCACCGTTGTTTTCATGGCACCCATCGTGGCACCCGTCTCGAGCTTTCTCGGAGGTACAAGCTGGACCATTTGCGCTTCAAGGTTTGGGAGCAGGTGGAAGCTGCTGGCGTGGTCTATGCAGAGGCCGTTTTCTGGGAGAGGGCCTCGTTGACCATGGCATCCATGGGCCTAGGCAAGGAGAATGGGTTCTTTATTGTTCTTTCACAAACCTATGATAGTACAGTACGTTCTGTGTTGTATTGGGGCTAAGTTGGTGACTTATGGTCTATTGGATGCTCCTCCTATATCAATAGTTAGAGCCTTTGAGCAAATGCAAGGAAATCCAACTAGTGTTTCTCAGAGAGTTGAGCCCTATGACAAGCACGTGGGTCAAAAGGATCGAAGGGATGCTTTGTGCAGTCCTTTTCTTCATGAACATGTGCCATGTGCAAATACAACTGGCTATACAACACTACATGGCCATGACCGGTCACCACCCACAGAAACGAGGGGCCAGGAACATACATTCTACTCTTCAGTCAGTTGACTTGAAAGTTATTTAAAGATCTGGTTCTTGAGATCAGGCGCCTGACATATCTCAAAAAGATAACCTGTCTAGTCAGTTGCAACAAAATACGTACAAATGTTGATGAAACCCTTTCAAGTGAAGACACTGCAACGCAGCGGCAAAGCATGCTTACGCACGCGGAGCGTTCTCAACACCTCTAGAATTGATGGGTCTCCCTCTCAAACGCCATGATCCCATGGAAAACCAAGGGCCCTGCCACACAGCTTCCCTAACCTCAGTCCTCATCACGGAGGCAAATTCATGCGTACCTTGTGCTCCCACAGTGGGTGGCAGTTGTTGTGAGTCTGGGCGGAGCACTGTGGGGCTGACGACCGTTTTGGTCAAAACGAGGCCACCTTCCTCACGGTCTCCTTCGAGAGCGTGAAGATCCTGGCAGAGCAGCGAGCTCAGAATGGTTCGATGGGTGATGGGACCTGGTTGTAACGTTTTTCTACGGTTTTGGCGGCTGAGCAATAATTCAATGATTTATGATGATTTATGCTCCATTTTCGAAAGGGACAGCTGGGGACCGTGTGGGGGAGGTTGGCTGAAATCTTGGGGCTGATCACCTTAGGTTTCTATGGATTAATTTCTTATACTTGTTCCTCTTAATGGCTGGTCGAAAAGCAAATGACTTGGGATGTGGGAAGGGATCATCGACCAAGGTCAGAGGATGGCTGGTGCACTTGCAATTTCGACCACCAGCCGAATTGGAAGTATGGCCATGGAAGGGTGGCCCCGAAAGGAAGAACGTTCCTCTACTAACAGGCCGTTTTCCACGTCCATTGTTGGAGGGAGTGCAACGATTTGAAGACGTGTCACCCAGCAGTTTCATGTGGTGGAGAGTCGGAGGTTGGCCATAGGTGATCAGGGCGGCCATTGAAAGCCCCTTTCGTCACTAGGGTTCTTGTGACTCAGAAGCTGCGGCCATCGAAGGTGTCCCTGTTCATTTGGACACCGCCACTTCGGCCCGCCTTCCGCGTCCGGCTCTCTGATGTTCGGCACCCGCACGCCGTCGCCGCCCAGCGGCCCCACCTTTCATCGAAGGCATTGTGCCAAGATGGGCAACACCTTTTGCCTGAGCTTATCGGCTCCCTACGTGTGCCGCCGCGGAGCCCAGAAACGGAGCGGGCCGCGTTTGACTGTTCAAGGCCGATGTGAAGACGGAGAGAAGAACAAGCGGCTTAGTCGCCCTCAGATGGTTCCAAGATGATCGAATTGGTACATCTTCAGCTTGGGCACCTGTGGGAGAGAAAAGCTGCAAATTCATTTTTAGCACGTCGACCGAGGCTACTTCGGGGATCGCATCCTTACTGCCTGGAGCCGATTGAGATCGTCAGGTTTGGCTGGATGTGGATTATTTTATGGCTGGGCATTGTGGATGTTTGTGTGTGTGTGAGGCAGCCTCTAGGAAGACCTAATTAATTAAGATGAACTAATGTTCAGCAGTCATCACTGATGAGTCTCTCTTTGGAAAAAGGCTGATGTTTGTGGCTTCTAGTGATGCATTTAAACTTAGAATATGGAATTTGAGGTCAACCGTGGATTCGGGGTAACCTCGCTTGTGGACAGATCAACACCCATCCCGTGGTCTAGGAAGGGGCCAGGCAGGCGTGTACCAGGCAGGTGTGGACTACAAAGAGAGGTCAGGGGAGAAGCCTGGCTGAATTCAAACAGGCAAAGCACTGTACAAAAGCGACAGCAGCAAAGGATACAGAAATCATGACATTGTCAGATGCACGTGCGTACAATACTCAAAGTGTCATTGCATACTTGCCATGGCAGTGCCACCTACATTTTACAAAGCATTACAAAACATGTTTGCAATACTGCATGCAGTGTCAGGGTAACCTGCGGCACGTCAATCCAGTGTTTTTGGGAGCGTGCTAGGACAGATGCCATGCAAGCAGTCCTGTGCAAGACCACTGCACTGTGTGGGTGGACGTTGGACACATGAATTTCATGAGCACGCCTTATCTCGCACCGTGTGTGACCGTGACCGACACTGCACCAGGCCCGATGTGTTAAATGGTTGAGACCAATTAAAGAACATTGAGACAAAATGAGACAGGTATCCTTTGCAAGCTAATTATTCCGGATCTCATCACTAGTCCAGCTTAAGGCTGTTCAGGGATTTGTACTACCACATCCTAACACCCCAATCAGCCATGGCATGCCATGGCTCCAGCCACCACACTCAGGTCATCCCTTACACCGACTTCATTTTCGGCTGCGAGAGCGAAGCTTGGCAAAGCTTGGAGGGTGCAGGGCAGGGGGCGCCCTTTCGCACCAGCAGGACCTGCAGGAACACCACCAATCGATCCGACGACACGCAAGGGGTGGTGTCAACGGACACCCCTTGAAGCTTTAGCCTCTAAGGAAGTATCAATGGACACCCCTTAGGGGTTCCTGGTGCAAGCGCGGTTCATCCAAGACTGCGTTTTTCGCTTCGCGATCACAGGACGTCCAACAAAAAGATCGCTACAATGCATATCTATACAGTAATATGTGTTTCGACGTCGGTTTGCTTGCATCATTTAGCACCTATGGTACGCGCGACCACGCGCGCGGCATGTGCGCGGGTGTGACACATATGGAAGTACTGTGCATTTTACACGTGACCAACACACGCGGGCCTCAGTTCGATCATTTTGTATCATCAACCTCCTGGGTCCCAGTTTTCCACTCGCCTCCCAGTGCAGATCCAAGGGCTCAGATGGTGTTGGTACACTGAGGAATACCTGGCCCTGGCCGAGCAGAAGCGTTCCGAAGGCCTTCCGCAGGCCGAGCAGACGTCCACACGGGCCTGGTGCCCCTCCCTGGTGACGTCTTCCTTTGCCTGCCAACAGGGCAAAAAGACATGTGGCATGGGCAGTAGTGTTTAAAGGGCTGCTGCGGTTGGAATTTCATGCAGAAGAGGTGACCTTTGACACTTGCGCCGCCTTCCGGCTGGCTAACCTCGGCACCGTTTGCTGCAGTTCATGATTCAGTTGATACTTCTGCTTTGTGGCACCATGTTTTGCTTAGTTTGCGCGTGTGTGTGCCACTCCGATTTGCTAGGATGGTTTAGTCATGAGTGATGAGACACCCTTTGTCCATTGTTTTCATCACGAAAGAGAGTTCTTCTTCGGCCCCCCCGCAGGATGTGGATGCGGCCCGGGGCGCCTAGGACCTAGGATGCGACCCCTGGGAAGGGTAACCACCCGGCAGTGCCGGCACTTGTAGCCCAAGACATGGACGAAAACAACTGTGTTCGGATATGTTCGGATCAAGAATCCAGGAGGGACAGGGAGAGGAATATCCGTGTTGTTGTTCTTTGCTTTGAGGGGGGGTGGCTTTTGTTGGTGCTGGGTGACTATAGTATCTTATGGTATCTTGGTCGGGTTTAGGGTAGACTGAAGACGCCCCCCAGGCTTAATCCCTGGGGTGGCCTCTTTGGAGGCACCACCCTACGAGTCCTCCCAGGCAAGGCTACCCCTCCGCCTTCCCTTCCACCCTTCAGGTGGTCCAAGCCTGGGCCCTTCGCTATAAGAGAAGGGACGAAGGGAACCATGCATGACATTGCATGACATTGCATGACATGTAGACCATGCACCTCCAACTCACAACCTCCTCACGCGTCCACCGAATCGAAGGATCCCAACGATCTCGTCAAGCATCTGCAATCAGAAAGTACAAATGTAAAGGATTGTAAAGCAGCTGATAAAGACTGATAAAGTCCGACCCCAAAATCATGAAATCAGTTGAAATCCGTGCCGTGGCTCCTGTTTGGTGCCAGTTGTGCCTCCCTTTTAGAACGCAGGCGAACTCTGCATGCTTTGGAAACCTTATTGGAGTTCCAGGAATGGATCAAATGCTGGTGTATTGGAGTTCCAGGTATTAGATGCTATTGCGATCCCTGAGCGTACCTTGCCATCGTGATTGGGTGTTCCACGGTTGCTTGTGGCTGCAGCCAGACGGCGTTGTGAGCATCATCCTTCGCTCCAAAGAGATGTGCCTGGAGACTGCTGTGAAGCACAAGAAGGCAGTTTTGGCTGGTCCACTACTAGAGAATGAGAATGAGCCACTCGTGAGTCCTCAAGATCATTTTGGATCCATTCCCTCATTCCTCACGAGCACCTTACTCAGACTTTGGAGAGGGCCTTTTGGGCTGGGCCAAAGGCTGCCCAGGGCAGCATGCCCTGCAAACTGGCTGGAACATCCGGTGCACCCTCCGAACACATGGAAGTGACATGGCATGGGCATGGGCCCCTGGGTGATCTTCACGAACAGTGCGGGCCACCCATGGTGACCGTGGACCAATCACATGGGTCAGACCTCGCCCACATACTCCGCAGATCTCCGAGGTTCGTTGACGATCGGCTCGTGGATCTCGTGTCCGATCGTCGATGTTCGATTCCAAGGTGGCCACCTGGCTGGCGAAGATGCCCCGCTCGGACGGGGAGAACTGGAAGCGACGCCACGTGGCACGGGCCTTTTTGAGGTGAGAGGGGCGGAGGCTGGCGGCTTCAGGATGCAGAAAGAAAGGGTTCGGTGGAGGAACTGGAGACACCGTGTTAATGTTGGGATCTTGATTGTGTAGCAGGGCAGATGTGTGTGTGTGTGGTCATATGAGGTTCTTATTGACTGACGAGGGCCTGCGGGTTCTTGGAATTTGTGAACATCCCGGGTGTTCAAGAGTAATTATTGTAGACTCTTGATGAACAATATATGTAACAATAAAGGATTGTAAAGCCGCGCAAACTCAGATTTATTCATATTTATTCATATGGGTGTGTCTTAATTCAAAAGGGTGATCCATGTGTTCAAACAACTTTGCCCTTTTTCTTGTTTTTTGAATTTCATAGCTGCAACATGATGTTAGTTGTAAATATATAGTAATATAGTAGTTATTTGTGTCATATTTGTATGTAAGCTGCTGATCAAAGTTGCCGTCATGAAGGGGCGAGGCCATTTGAGGCTTGGAAGAAGAAGCATCGCCATGAGCTTCGCGGACACATACGTATACACATGAAAGTGGAGAAACCCCTGTTGGTCAAGGAGGGTCTTCTTGCAAGGGCCATGCCATCCTCTTCATTTCACTTCACTTGCATGTGATGTGTTCGTCAGAGTTTAACACATAGAATGATATGGATAATCCATTGGTTTGAAGGGACTTGGGCATTGGCACGGAATTGATGTGAAACATGTTTGAAACCTCAACGGTGTCCACTCAGGTCATCACCTGTGGGGAGAAACCCACCATCGTGGCCAGTACCTGGCGTGGCTACGGGGCCGGGCCGCCGAAAGCAAGATCCTGCGCAACAAACGTGTTTGTGGAGGGAGTTTCATGGATGAAGGTCGGGTTCACTTGCAAGTATTTCACCCAGAGGTTGATTGATGCTCACATTTATCCTACCCTCCAGGATCATGTAGATTAATGTATAGGACCCACATTGCATGTAGCTGCCCCTTCCTTGCTTATGGTCTACATCTGGAAAACAAACCAATCTAACACTTCTCACACCCCGTACGCCCGTCCCCATTCAAGAAACCCCTTGCCCCTGTTTTGGGTGAGGTGTGAGGGGACTGTTTCTATGATGTCCCCTTTCAAAGCCGTGGCGGATTGCGCTGGCACTGCTTCAGGTCAAGGTGCAACGTTTTCCGGTGCCACCCGTCCGGGAGCCAAAGAAAGCCCATGCTGGAGGTCGGAGAATGGGGCGTTGGAATTCGTCAACGGACTGATGGACATGGACGTTGATCCGGATATGCCGGACGTTGATTTGAGTGGATGAGGAAGCTATGAACGTTTACTAACCACTGTGGGCACGCAGGGTCGCTGGTGGTTAAAACCTCCATGCTTAAAGCATCTTAAAGGTATCATTGGTATCATTCGTTGAGCTACATCCTATAAGTGCATCACCTGCTTTACAAACATGTCTTAGGGGGATTGGCGACACCCCGACTGAAAACGACCAGGGGGTGGTTAAAAATAAGTTCTTTTCCAGGGAAACGGTTTGGGAGTCAGATCTAAAATAGGGCCACGGAGTGGCGAGCAATCAGTACGTTGAATCCACCGCATAGAGGCGTTCTTGGTGGCTACCGGGATGCCTACGGTCGCCACGATCCAAACCCACAAAGTCTCCACAAGCTCTTAGGCTTTTTTTGCGGACGCGGACGGATAAGTGGAATCAATCATCATAAATCATAACATGCACAGAGGATGCAGATATTTCCTCCCATGGAACGACTCCCCCCGTCCGTCGGTGTTTCCGTCAGCTCGCCTTCCGGCGCCGTCCCCACCGGGTTCCCAGGTCCGGAGCCAGCGCTTCGTGCGCAAGGACGGTGCAGGGGACGCCTTTGCAGGCGTGTCGCGCCGGACGGTGCCGCGGGACGGTGCGGGTGGGGCGCCTCCCAACACAGAATGGAAGTGCTTGGTTTTGCTACGTTGCGCTCATCAATCTATGAGTAGTTTTTAGTGTATTAGATGCTATAGGGTGCAGTGATGATTATGAATCCATGAATCGGGAACTGGGTGGATCCATTTTCGGGGAATAGTTTCTGTTTGTTGCAGGTTCCTGATCAGCAAATCCTAGAGTGGAGCACCCCTTAGAGTCTCAGAGGAAACGAGCCTAATGTAGGGGTGGAAGCTCTGACGATGTTCCCCCAAAAAGGCTCGTTGCCCCATGCTCGCAACAGGTGGAGTTGTAAAGGTTTGCTGCTTCAAGACTTGATTGACGTCATTTTGGAGAAAGTAGGCGTATTTGCGCACTCCATGTGGGGGCCGCCGATCCAACCAACCCAAAGGTGCTTTGATCCAGAAAACTCTCTCCGGTCCAGGCGGCTTTTTGTACGGTCTGATGCATGAGGCGGTGTTGGTGGTTGTGGGGAGGGACACTTCACTACATGTCATCCATTTGCCGAGGTCATCCATTTGCCGAGATATTTGTGTATCGCATGTTTAGGTGCGTCATGAGAATATACAGACTATACAAATGACACGGCGACGCATCCCGAAGACATCCCAAGACTGTCGGCAAACCAGTGTACTGTGAGTTGTCCCATGGTTCCCCTAGCGGATCACTTGGGACATCGGGGGTCTCCCCATGAAAAACGAACGATCAAAACGAAAAACGACTACGAGTTACTGGGTGCTCTGGATTTGGGAGTGTCCCTTCATCCCACGGGGACTGGAGGGATAGAATGAGATGGTTTCTCTCGGGTCGCCACCGGTGGCCGGTTCGGCCACCCTGTTGGTTCGCCCGTAGAACCGGCCACCCGTTCGATCGATCCTTCTTTCCGGGAAAACCGGCTCATCTTCCACCGAAACAGCTCGGGGACCGGTTCCGGTCAGTTCTAAAGGAACCCTGGGTGGCGTGGCATCATCATGCCATCTATGGTATCATTGGCTTCGAAGCATTTTGGTGGCCTCAGGTTCTTGCTCATACGTGGAGGCTTGGTTTTCAAACCTTGCATATCGAGTCTATGCCTGAAGCCGCAAGCCTCCAATCCACAAAAGTCTTGAAACAAACGGGCTTTTGACTCATGTTTGACCTTTTCTATCCAGGGAACCCTGTTCTTTTTGGCTTTCCTCTTTTGCCTCTCTGTGTGGGCGTCCCAAGGGAACCCCACGGCCGCACTTGGAGAAGGTGACCCGCTGCTCGTCTCGAGAGGCAGATGTGGAGAGCTGCGTGCAGATGGCACTTTATTGCCGGAGATCTCAGCGCCTAAAAGGCTCCTTGTTTTTTTGGGGGTGCCCAGTTATGTGCTAGATGAGATCGAAATTGCATGCAAATGCAGAGAAAAGCATGGTGGTTTGGGTCGACCCACGGCCACGGCCAAAAGCCTCAACAGCATGGACCACGGATCAAACTTGGGCAAAAGGTGCGATTTGGACATGTTTAGTGGACCATGGACCATGGCGGACTATTCTGTAAACCATGCTGTTCATTTGGTTCATTTGCCCTTCTAGTACTGCAACAAAGCAAGCTGCAGACTACGGCATTGATTTGCATTGTTCGAGATGACTGGAGAGTGCCGTTGGAAGCCCAAGAGCACCCTCCTTTGAACAGCTGCCGGTGGTTCTGAGGTCTCGTCAGTCCTGTCAAAAATAAGAGCAGTTTTGCCAGGGGTTTGAAATCGGGTGGCTGCGATTATATGATGTTTAGCACTACCTGGGGCATTAACCACCACAGGAGGAGATGTTGACATATTGTGGGAGAGTATGGCCTCAAGGCAGTCGATTCAACCCATGGCCCGGCAGTGCGGCACGTGTTTCCTCCAAAATGGGAAGGATGCATTTGGAGCACCCGGCCCCGCACAGTACATTCATTTTAAATGCCTGGAAAAGCCGGAAGCCTGGGAGCAGTTGCTACAATTGGCACCTTACCAACATCCATGAAGACAGCAGCAAAGGTCAATTAGTCTCAAGAATCACACTCCACGATTATTTGAAGCCTTGTTGTCTTTTGACCTGACCCCCCACAAAAACTGTCAGCTAAAGTGACAAAGCAAAGCCAGAGATCAGGTCAACCTTTTGGAGGCACAGACCGATAATTATCTCTTGGGTCGTTTTGGTGTGTCCGTTGATCCAATTGCTGGAAAACACCTGGTTATTTATGTATATATATATATATTCCGTTTGTCATGTAGGAGTTCGATTCAAGAGGCCAAAGGGCTTGGGACGCAGCAAAACCAAATATTACATTCATCATCATTCATCTAGAATGTCTGGAAAAGACCAGGGAAAGCACGGGCTAAAGTGGCACAGGCCCAACAACACTATACATGAAGGCACCAGCAACCTCGGGGCATGCAATGGATACAAGTTCAGCTCTTGCAAGCCTGCTGTTGCATGTCACCTTTGCACACCCAGCCCTCACTTTTCTTGCACCATCTTCACGGTGCCAGTCTTTGCCAAAGATACTGTTGTAGTGTGCCAGTGTGCCGACCTTGGGAAGGGCAATGGGGTGGGCAGAGGCCCTGCCAGAGATTTGGCCTTCTAGATTCTATGCATATTGGGTTTAGTAGGGTTTAGTCATTTATCCACCCCACTCGACAAGGAATATGCTGCCCGGCTATGCCTGGCTAATTAGTCTTAAAACGGATTGATCCAAAATCCTTTTGATGTTGGGTCCCCTATTTGATTTAGTGGTTCGGTGGTCTTTGGAATTAGCCATATTCAGTGGCTAGAATGTTTCGCCCACCTGTTCGAATGGGCACGGCAGAACATCAAGCTTCCGTACCCTCTATAAGGGTCACGAGATGCAAAGATCTCTGCGAAAAGAACACAACACATGTGCCTGGCACGTCCATCGATTTCTATCCACACTCATGGGTGATTTCGGAATCACCACCTTGGCATTCTGCCGAGGTGCGAGCGTGGCAGTGCAGCGAACAGGCCCAGGCGAAGTGGAGATCGTTTTTCATGAGTTGGAGGTCTTGCTGTTGATGGAAGAACGAGTACGAGTGTGTGTGTGTGTGTGACCAATGACACTTCAACATCGGAGGCGCCATCGGCTTCAAAAGAGTGCATTCGTTCCAGTTTCCGCACGGTACACTGGTCTGTTTGTCGTTGAAAAAAATTGCTATGTCCTCATTTGTGCTGCAGACATTTGTCAGTCGACAAGTTGCCACACCAAACATCCGCGAACAAATGTTAAACTGGCTAGACTGTTGCCAACATGTTTGCCAATCTCGCATGACTGTACTTATGCAGTCCTTGTTTGTGAAGTATGGAGCATTCAGCATTGCCAGGCGGTGAGGATGTTTAGTTTGTAGATCCATTCTGATCCATTAATACTAAAGGAGCCTGAATGGACGATATCATTGCAAAAGCTGAAAAGCTGAAGGGGCCATGGGCCTTTTTTGGTCTTTCGCGTTGTTTGTGGGTGTGGGATTCGTTCAACAGTCGCCGCTACAGCGACGTTCGGCACCGCCATCGGGTGCAGGCTTCTCCTTCAAGGACAAGCCGAGCTTGTCAAGGCTCAAGAATGCTGTGGGTTTCTTGAGATTTCTCCACCTTATAAATTATACAGTATATATAAATTCGAGGGCGGGCCAATATGTTGTTCGTTTGCTAGTGTCCCTACACAGTATAAGTCCAAATCATTTGTGGCACGGGCCTTTCGAAAGGACATAATTATATATATATATTTATGTATTCCCTTGCAGTTCCATTGTATCAGAGACAGTCTAGGTTGGAATTTGGAGGGAGTTCCTTCACAATCCTTCATGTGCAACTCCCACTTCGCAAATGTATCTGAAAATTGCCACGAGTGGATATGAGTGGTACATGTGTCGCCGTTTTCGGCTGGGAAATGCAACTGATCCAGTCCACTTACCAAGACAATACATGTTAACAAATGCTGCATACACCTCCTTGTGCACTGTCAAACACTGCCAGCATTCATCCAATGAAAGTCGTTTAACATGTTCAACAAGTTGTTGAAACCTTTGTTTCAAACACCTAAAGGTGGGACACCTTTAATTTGGGAGTCTCGGTGGCCGGCCTTCATTCCAGGGTCTTGTCCGGATGTCCGACGTCAGGTCTGCGCCCTGAGGTTTCTGCGAAGTGTGCAGAGGCCACACCTGAAGGGGGCACGCTGCACAGCGGAAAAAGACTGGGCGCCCTATGGGTGGAAACCGTGGGAAACAGTGCAGACATGTTGACTGTTTGTTTGATGTGTTTGTTTGCGGCGGGGGTCTTGCACAATATACCTTTGCAATGAAATGTTTTCAGAACTGAGGGTGGCTCCTCCCATGTTCCAGATCTACATTCTAAGGCAGATGCAGTGAGGGGCAACCGCCAGGTTCATGAGTTGGAGATCAATTCAGAATTCAGAGATGTTTAAACTCAAGGCACGCACAGACGGATGATTATTCATGTCACCCGCCACCCGCTGGTGATTACCATGATATGATCTGCCGCCTCTCTCACCCCAATCACCAGCTGCCGATGTGTTCAGGTCGTCCACGTCCGCAGCTTTTCACATACAGCCAAAGACATCAGAAGGAACCTCGTCCAACAACAACTGGAGCTGTATCGGCGCCTCAGCACTCTCCATGATGTGATCCCGATGTCATGATGAGTCAGCTATGGCAGGTTCGAGACTTTGGGTCATTGAATAGGGGGCACATCATCGATGCAGGTTGCCACACAAGTTGCATGTTTGGGATCTCCCCCGAGCGATTTGGAGGCACCCTCCAGCAATCACGTCGGGGTCATGTTCAGCTTCGAGATGAATCGAGATATGGTTTAGAATTGGTCCGGAAATGGGACAACCATGGAATCCCCCAGGCATCTTTAGCTGCTACTTTAGCTGGTGTTCGAGGGGCTCGCCGTGATGCCCTCGGCCCTTGCCGCCCACCATGGTGATCCGCGCACGTGAATGTCGCTCGTCACGGGTGAGACCTGCACTTGCTGTTGTAGCAGTGTCGTTCTTTGCGGCGTGCGCAGGCGGCTGAGGTTCGTGAAGACCACATGTTCAACAGACCAGCTGCTTCCTCGGTGTCACCAATTCACAATCCTTGATATGCCACTTGTAGATCTTGTAGGTGGACACCCCTGCTTTAAGCGCTGGGGCCGTTAGGGATGCGTGTTACTTTGTGGAAAAGAGAAATGATTGGAACATTGGAGCTGCCCTTTTGGGATGGTCCAGGGGGCAGAGCCTCGTTTGTACACGCGGAATTTCCCTCGAATATACACGCGGAGAATTGATCTCGTTTGTACACGCGAAACTCGTTTGTACACGCGGCTCCCTCGTTTGTACGCGCGGCTTACACGGCTGAAAAAATGAATGAATGGAACCCGACCAGATTGTTTCACAATCTGAACCTTGTTGTCTCATTTTACGTCCATCGCTTTAGATGCGCTGTTTGGGCTGTCAGATCCGTGGACGGGTATCAAACGCAGAGCGTCTGTGTGACGTGAACCTGTGGAAGCAATGAGCAAAACGAGATCATCATGTAGATGAATGTCCAGAGGGACGTTATTAACACATCATCAATCAAACGAAGCAATGAGCCGAAAGAGATCATCATGACTGAATTGGTGTGTGCGCGAATGAGGCGAATCATGTGTGCGCATTTGAGTTTGGGGTAACATGGGCTGTTTAAAGAGGAATGTAATCGATGTGTGCGGATTCGAGGGGAATCATGTGTGCGCATTTGAGTTAAATATATAAAAAAGTCTGTGTGCGGATTTGAGGGGAATTATGTGTGCGGAAATGAGGCGCCATCCCTCCAGGTGGGTGTTCCAGCCCCGGCGTGGCTGCTCGCGGAATGGGCGGTCCACTGCCCCGGCGAGCGGCAGCATGTTTGGGGAAGTTCGATGCGCTGCATGTGGGGCATAGCTCGCTGATCCGCTACGCGCGGGAGATGAGCTTAGAGCCTTGGTGCAGTGAGGGACAAGTCTAGGTGGCCTGAGGGGTGGAGTCAAGGAGAGGGAGAAGCGCAAGGCACACAAAGGCAGTGGCAGAAAGTGAAGCCAAAACCCAACCCAGCATGCCTGAAATCGTTTCTAGGAGGACCTTCAGGCCGCGCTTTGGGCGCTAACATGTGAGGAGAACCATATTTCGGAAAGTGATGGAAGCCCAAAGCTAAAGCCCAAAGCTAAAGGCGCCTGAACCGTTTTGAAAGGAACCCTTTGTAATTTGCCCGACCCCAACACGACTGGAAAGGATTTGGGGCGAGACTCTTGGAAAAGCTTTTGGGCTCCAGAGCTGTTTCCAGAGCTGGGTCGACTGAAAATGGCCCTGGTTTTTCATGAGAAACGAGACAGTTCATGAGGATGGGCTCTTTTCATCCAGCTTCACGTGTCCTGAACCTCTGACTCAGGCGACTTTGATAGGGAACAGGTCAACCAGCAATCTCAGGCTGTTTGCAGGTGGTGTTAAAAGGATTGACCACCCAATTGGCAGCGGGTGTGTCTCGGAGATTGTCTCAATACCGGATGACTGGATGACTGTGAAGCAAGAGAAGTAGTGAGCTATTCATCGATAGATGCTTTTCCTGGCCTGTGAACTGTGATCCTCCTAAGATTCCGAATCACAAGTCCTTCGGGTAGCACATCCTCACAGGTCCTTCGGCATTCCTCGCTCAATGTGAGGAATCAAACCCCTTTCAATCCCACTTACTGCTACAGTATGTCACCAGTCGTTCCCAACACTCAAACCGCAGACCTGGAAACCCTGGTTCCATTTGGTTCCTTAAAGAAGTGGCCTGGCATCCACTGGGTGAAAAATAACAATGAATCAATTCCCCCACCTTGGCCACCAGGCATCCTCCACTTCTTGCTAGGATCCCTGGCTCATCTCCTTCAGCGGCATGGCGGAGGTCTTTGGCCGCTCGGTCAGCAATGCGACGCGGAGGGAGGGGCCGAGCTGAACACTGAGCAGGAGATGTGTTCAGCACGGAGGTAGGTGGAGATGGCCTCCAACCTAGAAGAGATGGCCTCCAACCTACTAGCGATGGCCTCCAACCTACTAGTGATGGTCTCTAACCTAGGACCTAGAAGAATTGGCCTCCAACCTAGAAGAGATTGACGGTGGGTGTTCAGGAACATGGGAATTCATCAGAAGTCATTAATGTACACCCTTGAGACCTCACTTTGGTTACCTCTGGTTTTTTGACATCAATTGCTGAATCCCTTTAGGGTTTGAAATATGTAATATGAGGGCAGGGTGCCCTTCTATATACGGACCCCCAGCTTCGCCCTCCACATCCATGCGTTTCCTGTAGTCCACACTGATCGCGTTTTAGATGTTTTTTTCTCGGGTACATACCGAGCACGTAAAACAGCACCCTCGCAGCCCTCGCACAGTTTTTTTGCTTGTTCTACTGACAAGATGGACCTCAGAAACATAAAAAGAACATAATAAGTCTGTCAATTCTGAAGACAACGGTCTGAGCACCAGAGGGGGATAACTTATACTTATACTACAACTATTTCTCCCTATGTGGGCTACAGGGCCTTCGAGTTTGAAGATATGTTAAGACTTGCTTGTTTCCAGTGGGGGTTTACATGGTCGGGGCCACGTTTTCGAGGATCAGCTCAAGTCTTCAACACTTGCGTCAAGAGGTTGGGAATAGATGTTTGGAACATTTTGGAACATTTGTTGTAGATTGGTTGGTACTGTATAAATCTGTATATAGAGCAAAATTGGTGCTTTCACCTGTTCTTTGCATGTATTGTTGTGTGTGTCCATGTTACCACTAGCTGTTTACAGGGAGACACTAGCTTTGGACATTTTTGGTTCCTCATCCTATCTCATCCTCCCAGGTTGGCCTGAGCGCTTGCCATTGGTGGCGCCAGAACACCGCGGTGGCCTTTTGAACAGCTTCGGCGCACAGGAGCGAGTGCTGCCCTTCCGCGAGGCCGGGTGGGTGCCAGGTCTGGAGGCCAGAAAAGGCCTGGCTAGCAGGTTGGAAAGCGGAAAAAGGATGAAAAAGGTGCAGGCAGAGGTGACCCAAATTTCCATCAAATATCCCGATTTCAAAACCGTGGTTTCTGTCTTGAAAGGCCGCTTAGGACGCTGGGTTCCGCCCCGTCCTTTCTTGGGCGAGAGGCGTTGGGCCCCTCACCCACGTGTTCTTCCACCCGTGATGCAGGTGGTTTCGGAGACGCCCCGCGTCCGGGACTGGAGACTGGAACCATGAACGCATTGGAGCAAACCCAGACGCTCCATGGGACTGCCATATACAAAACCACCCCAATCATTTGACAGTGAGTGGTCCGTGCGGCGGGGTCGACTCGTTCCGTAGACTGGGAGAAAAGAGCGACGCCCCAAGTCGCAACCATGAAGCGACGTGGAACAGCGGAGGTCCACGTACACAGGTTTCATTTGGTTTCAGATGGTTTCAGAGTAGATGGCGTAGGCTCATATATAAACCACCCAACTTGGGGATGGTCATGTGTACTTCTACATCATTGAAGTGCCAAAAGACCAGCACCGCTTGGGGGAGCGGCACCTGACCTTTCGCCCTTGGCTCACACATGGCTAGGTGCGTGGCCTCTCGCCCGAGCAGTTCGTAGATGTCTTGGTGGCCACTCGAAGTCCGACCGGACGAAATGGGTCAAATGCCATCTCCAGACACTCCAGACACTCAGTGGCTTCAGAGTAGAGAACACAATCCCCAAGATGTATATAGCCAACTCGACTGGGGCTGTCTCCCTTCGCATAAAGAAGACGCAAAAAAAAGAAGACTGAGGTCCGATGAGAGCATTTTGAATTGGACATCCTCTTCTACCTCCCTCGTTTCGATGATCCGCCGTCTCTGCCCCTGTTGGGCGGTCATGAAACGCCACCGTAGACACGCAGGGTCTACCGGCAGCAAAAGTGAACCAAAGTGAAAAGATCGACGACCAAAAAGGAATGGGAAATCAGAGAGGAAATTCCCATGTGGAAAGGAGTTTGCTACAGCCCTGGTTGCACAGAGACGCAAACTCGAAAAGTTCATCGTGTGCAAACCTCGGTATGGCACCAACAATGGCGCCCTGTGGAAGAGCTTTACCTTCGGTCTTGAGACGACAGTTATCGGCATGCCCTGGGAAGATGCCGTGATTGGGCAGCTTGTTGATGAACACTATAGCTCTTCTCAGCCAAAACGTCAAGTCTCGAAAAGTGGTGTCACTCGCAGAGCATGCACGTAAAAAGAAGCCACGCTTCCAAAACAAAAAGGCAAATTCAACGTAAGCGGTACAGACATCCTCCGATGCACGCCATTGAAGCGATGTGGTGAAGTCAAAAAATGTGCTGAGATCAACAGGGTCAAGTTTAGCAAGCGACCCTCGTGGTTGTTCAATACGGATATTGGATGTCCACTGGAACAAAGAGGGATCTTGAATCCAATCCCACCTGGGAAACCTGGATCGCAGGTCAACCGGCGTAGAATCCATTCCACCGGTATTTGGTGCTGGGTCATCGTCCTTGATGAAATCGCTACCAATTGTGCGGTTCCACCTTGCAAGAAAGATCTGCCTGTCAAAAACTTTCTTTCGCAGGTGCTGAAAATCTTCCGGAAAGACAGGAGCATTCTCCATGGCAGTGTCTTTTGCAACTTTACCTGCCTCACGGTTGAGAAGGATGTCCGATCGTGTGGTGTTGTGTTCTGCCGCATACTGGTCTGTGATTTCTGAGTCGGCACGATCATCTGCAATATGAGCCGGCGCCCAAACCAGCTTGACAGGTTGGGGATGCTGGCGTTGTCTACGCTCAACAATGGTCCACAGGGCGTTCCACCAGAAACATGACAAACATTGTCCAATGGTTCTTGGTGAAGAAGGAGCTGATGGAATTGATCAACAATACATTTGCAGTCCGTATGAATGACAATTGCAGCGCTGGAGAGAACGGTTGCTTTATAAATGGCAAACAACTCAGCAGAATATGAGGTGAGTTTTGGTGATTGTACCGGTCCAGTATCAACTGTTCTTCCTAACGCATCAATGATACTATACGCAGCTGTTGTCAACCAATATGATTCAGCCAGAAAAACTGATCCATCTGTCCAGACATGCTGGGTGTCTGCGTCGGCAACAAAAGGAGGGGAAATATCACCTTGTATGGATGCAAATGCCAGACGATGTTTGGCAATTCCCACCGGATGATCGACTAAGCCGAGCAACTGGAAGTTAGGTCCCAGTTCATGTAGAGGAGGTTGGACATGTGGTAGAACACCAGTGCAATCTGTGAGCAAGTGTCGCAGTGACTCAGTCTCCGCGTTGCAGAAGCGGCATAGCTTGGAGTCACAGTAGCCAGCCGCAGCACGCCGGTCTCTTGTGATTGAACACTCTACGGCCTGGGACTCAAAGTGCGCTGTCAAGTCAAGGGCCTTGTCAAATGGCTTAATATAAAGCTGCGAAAAGGATTTGGATAATGCAACATCCAAAAATCCAGATGGTTTTGACAGGTCTTTTCTTGATTGATCGGCAGCACGTTCATAGCACCACTGCGTACAAAGGGTGTGTAACATTGGCTTTATGTCTCTGACACCAACTTCCAGGATAGGAATGTGCGTGCTTGCAAAAACAAGGCAACATTCTTCAGACAAATGCAGGCGAAAAAGTGCTAAGGCATCCTGCACTCGGGCCAGGAGACTGCTTGCCCAAAGTGTGATTACGCATCATATCACAGCACTGATGCACACGTTCTGGGTGTGCGTGAATAAAACGCCAGAACTCAAATATCGTTGAGCATGCTCGTGCACACGTTGGTTCAACTCGAAAGGCCTTGGTTAGCAAAGCAAAAACAAGCATCTTGGAGTGCCAATGGGGCCTAGATCCCCAGAAGACTTGGGCAATTTCACTCTGGATCTTATCTAATGCTCGTTTTGGAATCTTTGAGACTTGCGAAGCAAAAGAAATCTGAGGGAGAACCTTACAGCCAACCAGAAATTCTTTGGTTTGTCTAGGAATAGGAAGGTTGGCAATGTTGCGTATATCGGCAACAACTTTGTACAACTTCTGTTGGTCAAAGAGGAAGTGCTCCCTGTCTGACGTATACATTTTGGCCCCCAAAACATCAAACTCCAGGAAGAGAGGCAAGGAGGGGAAGTTCTTTTTGGCGATTTGGCGAGCATTTCCGCTCGTCGCCCAAAGTACACTCTTGGAGTGATTGAGCTTCTGGCCTACCACAACACCCCATTGCTCAGTCATTTGGAGGGCGCGCGCAAGATCATTGACATGATTAATGTGGACCCATAAGTAGGCATCATCAATGAAGACTCGTGAGACCACATGTGGGATATGTTCAATGAAGGTTGCCCAAATGTGCATGTATGCATTAATTGCAAGGAGTGAGAATGAACATCCTTGCGCGACTCCATTAGCGTTTGTAACACTTTGCTTGGAGATCCAACCACGGTATGAGAGATGTTTGTGCAATCCTTTGTACATCAAAATGAAAACATTGACAATTCCCTTCGGGACTCCCAACGCCAACATGAATGCACCTGCAATGGAGGGTACAAGTCGATCAAAGCACTTCGACTGATCCAGCTTGATGCCGATTAGATGAGAGCTGTGCTGAATCGATGTCAAGGCGAAGGCCATTGCTAATCGAGGTCATAGACCGACCTTTAATGCCTCCATACAATGACGGGTGCATGACCTTGGCTTGCCATGCTTGAAGCTGACGAAAGCGAGTGCCTGTGTACGCAAGCAACATTGGTGACAATATGGTAATTAATCTTCTATTTATTGGGCTCGCAGGACCTGCTTTGTTGAGAATTGCCTGCTTTGCACAGACTAATGCGGTGGGCAGGTCACCCCCACAATCCTCTTCTACAGTGTGGAAAAAGTTGGCAATGACTTCAAGGCACTTTACTGGAAGAGCTTGAAGATCGGTGGTACGCCAACCGTCAAGACCAGCGGCTGCATCTGGATTGCGACCAGCAATGGTGCAGGCGAGGTCGGATGCTCCAAGTGGGGGAATTTCAAACTCGCTCGAATCATGGCTCAAGTATGGCCAAGCAGCTTGCAAAATGCGGAGAGGTTCTTCATGAAGAACATTGGCAGAAAAAATGTCATCCGGCTGGCAAACAATGTTTTGCTGATCATCTAAAACAAGGTTGGAAGGCTCATCGGCAACTTTGTTTTTGAGGTGGTGGAAAATGTACTTCTTGTTTGACAAAGCAGATTCTTGAACTTTGTGCTTCCAAGATTTAATGCGGGATTGGCAGTCCAAAGCTTGAAGTTGAAACTGAACCCACATGATGTTTGCATGGATTTCAACAAGGGTTGGAATGTGAGACTGGTGCCAAATATAAGGGGCATGCAGAGTCGCAAGGGTCCGCCATGCTTTAGTGATGGTTCTAGTTAAAATGTGCTCATCCATAAGGCTTGAGGCTGGACGTTGAAGGCGGGTGAACAATCCCCATAGTCTACCAAGCACGTTCTCAAGCCAGGACCCTTTGAGGGATAAGGCTGTATTAGATCTAGATTGGCCTGGACAGAATTGTTTTGGAGTAAACGTGGGGCTTTGGCCACGAACTCGTTCCCCGAGCCCCCATGTGGCACCACTGGCAAGCAAAGTGTTAACACAAAATTCATTGATGATTGTCCACTTTGCCTCCTGGGTCTGGGCATCATTATACTTATGTGCAAAGTGGGAGTCCCACAAGGTGTTTGCTTGAGTATTAGCTGTGTGTGTCTGTGAAAGACCAGGTTTACCGATGCTGGAAGTATCTAGTGGAGCAAACTTTCTGTGTACAAAACCATGGAGCCTAATGGAGGCCCATGAAAAGGTTGCTCTAATAGGTCGATGCTGGATACCCTGCATACTGAGGACTTCGATGTTGCGCAAGGCAGTATGTGCAACATGGTTGAGAATGATCCCGTCAATGGAAGAACAGAAATCTCCTGAACCACTAAAGGATCCATCTTTGGAATACGTGAGTGGCCTATGGGTGTCACCATTACAATCACTTTGCGACAGTGGATCGAACCACCCATGGAAGTTCACAGAGTTCGAAATGGATGGATAGTGAAGTGGATTTGACTGAAAATCGCCTGCCAACAGGATGGGAATGTCCCCAAACTGTGCAACAATCGTAAAAATATCGGCAAAAACACTGTCATTGTAATCAAAAATTTGTTGATTAGCAGAGGCGGTAGTCTTGGCATATATTGAGAAGACAAGAGCCTTTAAAGACGGGGTCACTTGAATCCAACATGCATTGGCACGGCGGGAGTTGAATAATGGCTTGTACAAGCCAGTGCAATCATCCTCGAAAGCAAAAGCGGAAGCGAGTTCAGGGGGCGCAAGAATAGCTGTGCCCCCATTCATGGTAGTGTGGAGCCCATCAGAGCGCACAGTGCCTTTCAAGGGGGCACACATGCGCAAGGCCTTCCCTGACTCGGAAACAAGTTTCTGGGAATGACGAATATTATTGCAACCAATACGTGTTTCTTGCAAACACTGAACTGTATCAAGAGAATGCTTCCAAGAAATATTGGATTTCAAGCTACCAATATTTGCAGATGAGATCGTCCACTCGGTAGGGATATCAGGACCCTCACCTGGGAAACCTAAAAGATGATCGAATTCAATGCGAGAGAAAGGAACAAGTTGAATAAAGGAATGACGAAAGTGAAGTACAAGGAAGACACCAAAAATGAGACTTGAACGTTTGCGAATCGGCTGCTGCATCAAAACATTCTTTCGCGCTGAGTGGTCGTCAAGGCCAGAGATAGGCCAATGGCACAGGTTCACTTGGTCAAAACAGCGGCCTATGGCATGACACTGCTGGAACACAAGAAGCATAAAAACAAGAAGACAAGAAAAAGGACAGAACCAAAACCGGTATGGCATCTGACACACCAGTGTCTTGCAGGGAGGCCTCACAATTAACTCATCATACACTCTAGGAGAGTTGCATGTCGTCCTACTCCACAAGTGCATGGCAAACCGTTCACTGAGGGAACGGGCCCCAAAATGCATTTCATCGAATGCAGGAAAACCCGGCGCATGTCTGAGCCTAAACCAAAGAACAGAAAGGCAGACAACGAGGAAACAAATTAAGACAGCACCATAAGGGGCGTTATTCATACGGGGGGTTTATTCATCAACAGTCTACATTAGGGTCGTTGATTCGTTGATGTCTTCCGGTTAATGTCTTCTTCTGGTTGTGTCCGATGATTCTGGTCCAACGATCTGGCTGCGCCACCCAGGACCAACTTGGCGTTGAAGGCGCCGTGTGCGGCGCCAATTTCCGCTTCGGCTTCCAAGCCGCGGCGGCGGCTGAGGACCTGGTGGCGCTGGGCAGGAGCGGCCATCGGTGTTTGATGGTGTTTGAGGAAGTGGTGGGGTGGGAGGAGTCAAAGCGAGATGCTTCAGGGTGAAAGTGGTGGGTGGCAGGAGGCGGGATGAGTCATTGGTTTGGTCACGGTCAGGTTGAGTAGTGAATGTAAGCGGCATTTCGAGACATGGGAGACATTCATGGGGACCCAGGCCTCAAGACTTAAGAGTTCTTGGTTGTGATCAGAGTCCACCTCTTGTGGTCTCATTGACTCTCATACTCAACATTTGGAATCATTTGGAAACTAGTTGACGCCGATTCTTCTCTTTCAAGCGCAGGAGGCGTGGCTTGCAGGTGTGCGTGGCGCCGCTGCTGGCACGGGCTGGGACAGTGAGACACTTGGCAGCACGGAGTGAAGCTGAGAGTTGGACACCGTCCTAGATGTTACATAGTGCTAGTATGTGCTACTGTATTTTTCCCTGTACTATGTTGGGTGTTTGGGTCATTGAAAGGCCATGAGTAGTTAGTACAAGTCTAGTACAAGTCCAACTTCCTCTTGATGAGAGGATCCACCCGCTGATTTCCCCACTGCAGCACTGGCCGCATCGGGCGAGCAAGGTTCCACACGGATCCGCCAGCTGCTGCAAGAGGGCAATCTCGAGGAGGTGGCCCAGATGTTAGGCGCGGCCTTGAGGGTGTGGAACGGAGGGGGTGGCAAGCTTCCCTGGATTCTTCCACAACTGTTTGGCCCCCATTACCAAAAGTAAGGTGGAGCATTGAACAAGTAAACAATGTGAAGCAACTGCTCCTTTGGAGCTCATGTTTGTTTCTTCACAAAGAGCTTGGGGTGCTGTCAGACTGCTGGAATGCTGGCCTGTTTCCTGATAGTTTGGCACCTCAAGTCCAATTTGCATGGCAGTGCTCCAACTCCCTTGAAATTGAAGGAGGAGCTGATCTGACGGATGCGTGATTTATGCATCACCATGGAAATCCAAGTTTTGGATTTTTTGGGACATCCATTCTTGGAAAGAAGCCTTTGTTTGGGAGCCTATTTTTATTTGGCAGGACGGCCTCACCGTGTCCTTTGGCATTCACTCGGAGAATCAGGCGTCATACCCGTTGTTTCGTGGATGGATGCGTCCCACGTACACCCTGTGTTCAGGTCAGCTCCAGAAGCCTCAAAATGAGATCCCGGGCCAGGGCGTCTACGAGGTGCGTCCTCGCTCTTTTTGGTTTAAAGTTTAAAGCCATCCCCCGATCCCCAAATGAAGAGACACCACTGAACCATGAAGCAATCCTTCACCTAGGACCTAGTGGTTATATACACATGTTACACGTGGGCCGCCTGGCGTGTCTCCGGACCTTGTTGCGAGAAACCGGTGCCGAGCCCACCACACAGGTCTCGCTGCTGCGGGACGGGGCGGCGGTGGCTGCCGCGGTCGCGATTCAGGCGGACGGTGTGCCACTTGGTGGCGGACGCGGAAGCGGAGGTGGTCAGAGGGGTTCACCAGAGTGCCATGACCGCCGTGTAGCAGCTGAGCGCTGAGAAGTGGGACATCCCAAGATGCAGCTGTTCCCAGCTGCAGTGTCTCTCTTTGAACTTTCGGAGGTCTCTTTCTCCTCCAATCGGGTGATTGTTTATGATTGTTTTGCGGTGGGCGTATATCTGTGTATATAGTGTAAAAAAACATTATTTTATATATATATAGAGATCCCGTTTCGTCGAAGGAACTTCTCCTTCTCCACCGGAATTCTGGCGGAGCATTTTCCACCCCAACAATGTATAATACTAGACTAATAAGACTATATTGTAATACTATAAATTGACTTCGGGGTGGAAACAACTCCTCCAGAATTCCACTGGGATGCCTGGCAGGATTCTAAGCAGAAAGTGTTTAGGTAATGTCTTCACATGTATGTTACCAACTTTATTTTTTGTCCTGTTTGTGTGTTCAAGGGTGAGCTGGTGCTGAGCTACGTCGATGGCCAAAAGCAGAAGCTTTCAGAACATACATCTCTTCTACACACCTGGTCCAGTAATATAGGTCCAAGACTCAAGACTCCTCGCACCTATGCAAAGTTCAGAAGTTCCGTGCCACGGGTGGTTTGACCGCGGGCTGTTTGTCCCTTCTGAATAACCCGGTTGCTGACCGGTCTGCTGATCATGAGGTTTCTCAGGGAGACCGAGCTGGCTTCCTTGGGCGCGGTGGATCTTCTTTTCGACAGAGGAGCGGCAGCGCGAGAGGTGGAGTCAAACTGAGCGACCTGTCGAGATCATGGCCTTGAGGGATCAACTGGCACGACCGTCCACGTTGGATGGCAGGGTGTCACCACGGTGTCACTACCGAATTCCACCATCATGAAAGTGGAACCGACCAATTTGATGGAACCAAGGTTGCTCCCTTTTCATCATGTTTTGAAAAAGATATGACTTGTGGACAACTCGATGGAAAAGGGAAGTCTTGGGTCGAGAAGTGGCTTCATGACTTTGGATGACAGTCTCCTGTCAAGACATGGCTTCTGGATGGAATCATGAATGTTCTTGACAAGCTTTGCTTAGTGCTTTGGGTTAGGCGGGATATGTTAGACAGAAGTCTCGGTTGACCCACCACGGAGAATGGCTTTGGTGAAAAAAATGAAAAACAAACACATACTAGACTACTAGGTGGAGGCCATCGCTAGTAGGTTTGAGGCCATCGCTACTAGTAACAAGAAGCTACTAAGTAACAAAGCGCATCGCTACTAGTAGTTAGAAGCTACTCGTAGCAATCCTTCTTCCGCTCGCTGGGTCAAGCGAGCGCCGCTGGAACGTCGCTGGGCTGCGCTGTGTCCGACATGTTCGGCTCCGGACAGATTCACTGAAACAGCACTCACCAAGCAGCTGCCACCTGATTAAGTAATGAGCCACTTAACTGACCGACCAAACAAACCAGCTGAACAGACAGCGACTGATAGCCATGCTGGCTTTGTATGAATGACTAAGTAACAAATTAACAAGCAGCTGGAAGGACTACACTGACTGACACTGGTTGGAGCAATTGTGGTCAATGACTCAATGACTACACACTGCATGTGATCGTCATTCCATTGTTGCGAACGTTGAGAAAACTGGTCTAGACTCTAGAGTCATTGCTGTGGAACGCTGCTGTGAAATACTGCATAAACTCAGCCCAACTAAAGCCTGAGCCCCTGCCAAAGATACCCAACACTGATTTCTTTCTAGTGGGAGGTGTATGCATATAGTTACTAGTCCTTGGGTGTGCCACTATGCCTGAAATATCTATGCATATTCCTGATACTTGATCAGTATGAGCCAGGCACATCGGTCTTTCCCATTTGTGTCCACGAATCTTTGACTGAAACGGCCATGGTGCTGGTCCATGGCAGGTGGGACCCCAGCATCCCACAAAGATCCGGCGGCCAATTCTGAACGAACTTCCTGACCCGAACACCGACAGCGAAGGTGGACCAAAGGGGATCTATTAGAACATACACTCTCGAGCAGGTGTAAATATGAGGCTCTTCCACAAACGAGTCACAAACGAGCATCCAGCTCTGCAGAGGTGTTTGACTAGTCGATGTTCCAGCTCTCCAGACTCCCAGAGGTAAGGCCTCGAGCGGTTTCATGTTGGAGAGGATCTTAGGAACCTTTGGCCACTCAACGTGGAACAGCATGCGGTTTGTGGCATGTTTTCCAGCCCGCCGGTTTCCGCAGAGCAGGCCGCATAGCAGGTGGCGCTTTGTCTTTATTGAACGTGATGGATATTCGGGGGGATTGAGCTGTTGAAGTTGAAGGAGGACCCAGAGTTTGAGATGACCTCTGCAGGATTTTGTGCAGAAACTAGGTCTATAGATTTGGCTTCGGGATCTGAACAATCATCGAAAAGCCACCCGTGTGGAGAGAACCAGCATGACCCAGTGGGAAGACACCTCGCTCCACGTCACCTTTCCAGGTCATGAAGAGAAGGCCGGTTGAGAGATGACTGAAGCTTGAAATGTGGGAAGGGGCCAATCCTGGGTGGCAAAATGCATGGAGAACATTGAAGTACTGTACATAGATTTCCGACCAGACTGAAACCAGTCGATTTCGCCTCCACCACGTCCGAATACGTGGGGTCGTTCCATCTTCTCCAGCCTACTTTTCACCTCTACAGTAGCCCAGATGTGTAGCCTTTGTCCATGCTTCACCAACATTTCTGACTGCTTGCACGTCTATAGGCTATACACTCCGACTCACTAACATGGAAGTGGAAAACCTCCTGTTTGTAAAGGAAAGTAGTCTTCCAAAGGGGTAATTTTCCACTTCCATGTTAGTGAGTCAGAGAGTAGGTGTTCAAATCTTCACAGTACTTTGATGGGCTCTTCCGTGAGACAGCGAACGTTTGGGAGAGACTTCGAGGTCAGTACTGCGTTGGTCTGGCGCTTACTCAAGACCTGTAGTGAAGTGATACCAAGCAAACAGATCATCATGAATTGAACGGAAGGAGCCTGCAGGTGTTGAACACGTGATCAGGAGGACATGCCCAAATGCTGGTCTCAACATACAACAATTCCCAACAGCTAAATGCAGTTGGGTTTCAATCTTTGGGGCTGGGAGTGGTGCACAGTTGGTCACCGGCGCCCTAAACCCTAAACCCTGTAGGTACTGTTTGACAGGTGCCGTGATCTGAATGTTGCCTTGGAACCTGTGCTGTACACGGGTGATTGTTTGCATATTCCCAGTCAGTTTGAGTTGCGTCCCGCCTTCTGGGGTGCTGGGTTAATGTTGTTGTCCTTAGAGGGTTAATTAATGCTTAATGTGGTGACGGTATTTCGGTTCCAACACCAGCATGGAGGACGATTGGCTCCAACACCAGAGGAAACAAAGGACAGGGGGGTGGCCTTCACTTTGAATCTTTCAATCTGTCCAGTCAACGGTCTTGAGTCGACATCAGGCCAGGACATCAGAAAGGCTCCCATATGCTGCTCAGCGCGGTGAGGTTGACCTGCCCGACTTTGGGGAAAGCGCATACTGGGAGGCCGGATGCCCGAAGGCAGTCTGTACAAAGACATTGGGTAGAACAGGGAGGAGGGTCAATTCTTGAGGTGAAGCATGGTTTTCTCCGTTCACCAGGTGAACGTATAATTGTTTGAACATTGTATATATATTATAGAATATATATCTGTGCTCAACTATATATATATAGGTAGGTAAGAATATGTAAAAAGGAGGTGCCTGGCAAAATTGTCCCGCGGAACATTTGTAGTTAGCGAACGTAGCACAGGTTGATGTTCCGTATTTGGGCATTATGCGTTGGTGTCCATTTCGCCACTGTGCATTCAGCCAAGCTAATGGAGTAAGCTGGACCCTTTCTATTCCCACGGGCCTGGCGATCTTTGCAGTTCAGAGTTTGCTATGTTTCGTTTGCCCAGGAGCATTATGTCAAAGCAGCTGCAGATGGAGAGGACTTGGCGCACTGTTCCAGGGACATGCAGGGAACATGGTGGAAAACGAATCAACGTAATTAGGTGAGATGAAGGCTATGAACAGTGAAGATTTCCTAGGGTGGGGTCATGTGGGGCCTATGTGGAGTTGCAGCCGGTTTGCATTCTTTCGATATCTTCCTCTATTGCTTCGTGACCGCTCATGCGATCGTGCCGAACTCCTGCGGACAACCTGCGTTTGGGCCGAGCATGAGTTTGTGTCAGGAGGTCTATGATTGGCTAGTGGGGTACGATGCTCGGATCCGGGAGCTTTGGGTTTTGTTTGACTGGTGCTTAGAGCTCCCAATAGAGATTCCGTTGCATCTAGCCACCCTCATTCGCTACTAAGCACAAGTCAGTTGTTTGGGGCTCAGTGCTGGAAGCTCTACAGCCTGGTGCGGACCGGACATGTACGACTTTTTCACTCGACCCAGTCCAGGCCCCTCTCAACCTAACAGTGGATTTGTTCAGAACTCGGGTTCCCAAACTAGCGTTGCTCGGCTTCGTCCCTCCGAGAAGCCCCCCCTTGCCACGTCCAGGCCCCCATGTTCCTCCCAGCTTTGCAATTGCGTAATGGGTTATAATCGGTTCTGAACCGATGAGCCCGTGGCATCCAGTTATTTGATGGGACATGATGTGCACTATTTCCACTCCATAGGTGAAAAAAGGATCCAGAGCAAAATGATAGAATCTCCTTTTGGAAAAAGAAAGGGTCTAGTCGCTAGTCTTGTCCACTTCATGTATGTGTCCTGCAGCGTGCTCAATGCATTACTGCGGCTTCTTTTGTTGCATCACTCCGGAAGAGACAGCAGATTTAAGGAGATTGCAAGCTAAAGTTTGGTTCCTCTCCCTCTCAACAAACACTAGCTGGCGGCTCCAAGCGAGCCAAAGAGCTTTGGAACGGTGCCTGACGAGCTACATGGACTTCCCACCGGTGCTGACGAACATGGAACTGTTTCGTCGTACTCGTGTGCAGAGCAACGTGTCACAGCAGTTTCTTTGGTCCCCGGCCTTCCCATGTTCATTCTCTCTCGTAAGGGGACGACAGAGTGTCAGGAACCAGGAACCTGTCAGTCAATTGAACCTCCTGCAGCTATGGACAGATGTTGTTTTAAGATGTTTTTTTTCACGGTTTTCAGGTATATGTTTTCAGGCTCTAGTTGTTTCAAGGTCCAACAAGCCAGACTTCCTGTTCACCGACAAAGCCCTTGAATCTGCGATCGCGCCATGGCAAGCGGTGATGGCATGGCGGTGTCGACGTGGACGGAGCTGGCGGAACGCCGCTCGTTTGGTTCGGGACATTCGTTGGATGGGAGCCGTTCGCTCGTACCGTCTCGTACCTTGGAAAATGGCTGATGGGTACTTCCAATACCTGTTTTCATAGGTAATGTGTCATTTTCTAGGATACTTTGGAGGTGTGTTATGGTGTTTGAACACTCAACGGTGCAGAACAGACATTCTTTCACATGAACTTACCATGTGTCGCCCATCGATTCCACTTGGCACAAGTTTATAGGTTGATAAATATATACCGTATAAATATTTATAATATATCTAACATAGTATCTAACATATTATATACTACTATATTTATGTTTTATTGTTTAACTATATATATATACATCATGACTTGACATGATTGGTTGGTAGAAAGCCTACAGCAACGATCTCAGCCCTCAGCTCAGTCATATACTTACCCAGTCAGCGCATAACCTTTAACCTTTTTGGGGGGATTGGTTCCCCCACCAGCAACGAACAGGTGGAGAAAGGTTAAAGCTTTGTTTTTCAGGGAGAGTGAGGGAGTCAGTATGGGTGGTTGCGAGGTCTTCCGAAGAGTTCTTGAATGCCAGCCTTTATGATCAAAGGCTGGCAACATCAAGCTGGACATAAGGCGTGTGTGTATGTGTGACATAAGGCCCTCGACCAATGAGTTTTAGTGTACAGGGCTGTTGATGTTCGCTTCCACCGACCCCTGCAGTTCTTTTCCACCGACCCCTGCAGTTCAGCCGGGTCTAATTGGTCAGAAAGCATGCCTCGCAATACCAAGCCGCATGGGAAAGAGGGGTCCTTAAACCATCTCAAACCACATAGGTGCTGATGCTGGTAGGATATTTTTTGGCGTTTCTTTCCTATCACATGCCTAATGTGAACGATGCTCATCTTCGGTATGATGCCCAACCTCCTAGACGCATCTTTAGCCCATCACCGGCCCGTGTTCAGGTTATGACGGATTTATTTTCGACTTGCTCCTGAGCGACACATGGGTGGGTTGGGCGTGATTTGTTTCGGCTTGGCCAATGTCTTCGACCAATGTCGTGATTTGTCGGCAATTCTTTGAGCCCTTGCGCTTTCAAGTGAATCGCCAGTTTCAACAGTGTTATCAGTTCCAGCGGGTGGGCTCTGTTCTTTCGGAATTAACGTGGCATATAAATGATACGAGTTCATTGGGATGCGCTGGTTACTTGCTGCATATTGTGGCAAATACAGGTGACTATCCCGTTTTTGTTCCCGTTCAACTCCTTGAAAGTATTGGCCATTGACTCTGGCCCAATGAGCATTTGCCAACACCCATGAGAAGTGTGATGGAGAGTTTGTGCTTGAACAGCATAAAACAGTAATATTTAATTTCATTCGCGGAATTTGTCACTTGACATGACAGTGTGCTTCCATCGCGTTCCATGCATAGCAACCCCCCTCAACCCTGGTTTGGTCCCTTCAGACAACTAGCTCTCTCACTGGGATTTGGTGGAAGACCCGTCACCTTCCTGGCTTTCTCGGAGGTACGGCGTCCTCCACAATGGCGTCCATGCGCTACCTGGCGCGCCAGAACTGATCACACAGCTGAAGAGGTAGACCTGGGTGGCGGTATTTGAGTGGAGGGGTAGACCTGCACAGCGTAGACCGGCCGACCGGGGGAAGTTCATGTTCAATGCCTCGGTGCAGCGGCGAATGCCGGCGAATGCTGGTAGGCAGGGAGGAGCGGCCAGACCGAAGCTGTTTGGTAGACCGGGCTGTGCTGTGCTGATATGTTTCCGAGAAGCGTTGGGTCGTTGAAGACTCTGGAGAGAGACCAATATTCAGGCAGCAGTTTTGAATCCTAATGAGGGAAGATCTACGACCTGCAGGACCTGTAGGAGGTGAGTTTGGCTCAACTAATCATCACCATCAATTCAGACTTGCCCCGCCTTTCTTTTCCATGGATGCCCCCCGTCAGAACAAGAACCCTGTCGGATCATAGACGCCTTTTCCACGTGATGCCACGGGGAGGATTGGGTCTTCTTGTGAGCAACAAAGCACTCGAGAATGCACATTCATGCGCTCTCAATGGATTGGTTTAAGGGAGAATATGGGAACTCAAGGAACACGGGACATCGTGCATTGAACTATATTGAATTGTAGGTGTTCCCTTATAGTTAAACATTATAACCATTCTGGGACGTCCCAGAAGTGTTTGATCTTGAGGCTCAGCTCCCGATCCGTTCCCGCCCGCAGCAGGATGGGGAAGAAGTTGGTGATACTCAGTGCCTCGCATTTTTGATTCATCCACGTGTTCTAAATTGAATTTGATCCATCACTTTTGCTGTTTGAAGCCAAGTCTTTGGACATGTTCCGGTGAAAAAAGACAAATGAATAAGAATATATATATATATGTAAATGTATATTTGTACATTTTCACGAAAGCCAGCCGATAGGCTAGGCTGGAGTCTAGGGGAACGGGTCAATTTCGGAGAGAGTTCGGAGAGCTAACCCAGAGCCAGGTGGGGGAGAACGAAAAAAAGGAGGCGGCCAGGAGGTAGGGAAAATGAGTGGTTTTTTGGGGGTGTTGTGATGCAAGTGATGTAATTGACGGCGAGTAGTGCATCATTGGTATCGTGAGGGGCTCACAAGTCCCAATCTGGCTCCATGAGGGTCAGGGTAAGTGCCAGCTTTAGCAAGGGTTAGCCGTGGGGTGGCTGAAAGTGTGGGTGGGTTAGCCTGCGTTTTGGCTGTGGGTCAGCTGCGCTTTGGCGCATGAAAGTGTCGGCTAGCTGTGTTTTTCCCCGCATTTGTCAGCGTCGTTTTGGCTTGTCTTCAGGATGAGTTGGGTGTCTGCAGTGCTTTCGATGGGTTAGCTGTGGGCCAGCTGCATTTTGGCAGGTGAAGGTGTGGGCCAGCTGCGTTTTTGTAGCGTTCAAGGTGGGTTAGCCTGCGCTCGAACAACGTTTTTGGATGGGTTCACCATGGTTAGCCACGTTTCCATCGTACTGGCAGGTCGAGGTTGGTTAGCCTGTTTTCGCAAGGGTTAGCCATGGGTTAGCTGCGTTTTGCTCACGCTTGTTTTGTTAGCGTCGTTTTTGCTGGTCTTCAGTAATGGTTTGGATCGGTTTGGTGGGAGGCCATCACCTCATTCACTATTGTGTGCTCGTAGATGTGGCCGGGATTTGCTGTTGACCACAGGTGTACGCAGAATAATTGATTCTCTCCCCTTCATCACCACATGTGGGCGTGTGTGTGAGAATGGGTCAGGTGGGAATTCAATTCTGATGGAGATGATGCATTGCCTTGAACGTGTTGAGGAATTGTTTCTTGTTTTTCAGCTGACTTGGAGTGTGTGCTTTGCATCTTTCAGTGGCCCAAATCCGCCCCGATCAGTTATCAACCCTTCTCAGGCACACCAGGCGTGATTGCATTCAGTTCTTAAAGTTGTTCGATTCGTATGCGAGCTGGGCAGGTGGGACCCATGGCGCCGAAGCGTGCTAACCCGCAGGCCAAGGCGGAGAATATTTGACTCAGCCACATGTGTCAAATCTTTCTTGAGAGAGTGCCGAGAATGGGGTTGCTGTTTTGCTAGGTGTTTGCTACCGTGGATCAGGGCGGTGCCTGTAATTGGAAATAAAAGGGGTACAAATGTATCAAAGCACCTACGAGGGACTGGAGACAGTGGGAGGCACACCCCCCCCCAAACATGTATTCTACTTTCTGTTTCTACCCCCATCAGGGTGGCTGCGATGTCAACTTCACCCCATAAAAGTACTCTTTGCCCGATGTAAACCAATCATTTCATCTTGCACGCCAAGTCTTTTGAGCCCATCTACGGGACATGAATAACAAACAGCGGGCAAACGCCAGGCTTGCCCTAAGGGCACTCCCCTAACCCAGAGGTTGGCTTTCGTGCCCTCCCTTCTCAGTTTGACTTTTCACATCTATTCACCCATCTTGCACGACGACTTGTAGACGATGCTGGTTTAAGGCGTTTAAGGTTCCGCAGGTGTGCGAATGAGTCATGCAAAAAGCACCCCAAGGTGCTGGTTCCACAACACTTGCGCCATCACGGTCTGACTTGGATCATGTGCGATCTCTATACCTTCAAGCATCCTCAATGCGACCACCATGATTCTGCTATTGATGCACAGGTGCATAAGACGTGCATCCACCAATTCACATCCCCTCATGTTGAGCAAGTTGGAACAATAGATGCCCCACGTTCAAGTGCCGGGGATGTCCACTCGTTCACGCGTGACGGCCAAGGTAATTCCTCCAAGCGGTCCCCATGGGTGCTGAAGGCGGGGCAGGGCCGGGCAGAGCTGAGTCACTTCCTGATTCTCACTGGTGTGCAAAATGGGAGGGTACGGTTCAGTGAGCCTTCAGGTATGTGCAGATGGGAGGATCCTGCAGGCAGTCTGCACATGACGGTTTTGCGGTCAAATGCTGCCAACGCCGCATTCCCACTTTCGACTCCACTACCAGCGGACTGGTCGCCTAAGCACACAAGTGACGAATCCACTGGTTGCCCGCTCCATTCATCACGGTCCGGGTCCTTCTGGCAAACCTTAGAACTTACCAAACCCAATTAGCTCCAGTGAAGAGATGCTGTGCATGGTTCCGTCCGACTGAGCATGTTCAAAAGCCAGACACTCCATGGAACTGGCATATTTACCCACATTGGAGATCATTGGGGTGGTTTTTATAGGTAAAGGTAGGCATATTTATACATATATGATACACGGAGTGCCTGGCTTTGAAACGCCAGGAGATCCCTAAGTTGGGCTTGGATGCTGCCGCTTTCCTGGGAGCCATCACCTCCGGTGAAGAGGTGGACGAGGGAGAAACGAAGCACCGCAGATGTGATCCTCTATCCGTCTGGGGGGCGGGGAGCAGCAGCTCAAGGAACAAGAGGAAAAGGGACACTTGGATTGATTTGATGAAGATCCTGAGACCATTTGAGATTTGATGAAGGCCGTTTCTCCTCGTGTATTTGTGTTCTTTGTTTAGCCTTGAGCGTAAGGATCCAGTGCCATATGGCCGATGTCATTGCATTGGTCCTAAGAAGTCACCTGGCAGCCATTGTCTCCATGGAAACCCTAACGGAAGCGCAGTCGAGTAGTGCAGGGTAGTGCATTGATGAATAACTGGCATGGTCCCTGCAGAGGAAAACGCTACAGTCCACGAATTTGAGATCAAGAACATGCCCAAAACTGCCCGGGGTCGCTGCCCGTGTCCCACCGGCGAGTCATCCTCCAGCGAGTCGAAAGCGGAGGCGTGGAAGGCCCTACGAGAGCGATCTGGGCAGCGCTGCGTGTGGCTGTCCAAAGTGGACGGGAGCGGAGTCACCGACTATTTGGAGGCCCCGGTCCGCCGCAGAGCGAGTCTGGCCGGAACTATGATTGAACACGTCGAGCATGTCACCTGGTCACTGTCACCCATGTTTTTGGCGGGATTTTAGCTTGCCAGGGAACTGATGTAAGACTTGTTCAAAAACTGAGGCCATGGGTATGGCTAGGACAAGCACTGGTGTGAGCTGCCCAAAACGGATGTACCGGATTTAGCCACCGCTTCTAGGACGGGCAGAAGGGATTCGTAGTGGTCAGGAAGTTGGGCATTCATTATTGATCTACTGTAGTCACATGATGTCAAATGCAGCAGATTGTGCGTGGCAAGCTGGGCTTCTCGGATGCTCGCTCCAGCCCATTGACACGTCAGCAACAACTTCAGTAGCTTTTGGCCGATATTATTCCATGTGATTTCAGAAGGGACACAATGCAAAGTGATGGCAGGAATTGATCGTAATGAAGTACCCGAACTAGCCAGCCTCACTGGCCAGAACAGTCTCCTTTGAACTATATGTATATAGGCAGTTGATTGATCTTAAGATCCATTGGATTATCAAACCTCATGAAATATAACCAACTGCCTACAACACTGGGTGAAGGTTGCTTTATATTGAATTGTGCTGGGCTCCTTCATGCGTTTACATCGCCTGCACAGCTGCAAGCACAGAATAAGTCATGAATTTGTTCCTGCAGGGATGACAATAGGGAAGACTAAGTGTGCAGCGTGTCTTAAGACAAAGACCCACTGTTCTGGAAGTTGCTTGATAGGCCGCTGGAGGAAATCCTTAGCATGTGGAAGCATGATGACAACTTTGTACAATACATGAACTTTGGTTCGATTCGCATGTCTTCCAGCTTAGCTTGGTTCTGGGCGGATCGTTGCTGGCTTTCGGCAGGGTACCGGCGTGTCGCTGGCTGATGTGGATGAAGCAGATTTCATCTTGAATGGTGGTACAGCCGCTATCAGGACACGACATTCTCCGCTTTGGGCCTTGATGTTTAGATCGAGATGTTATTGTTTACGAGTCGGTCCAGTGTCGAGTGAAAGAATATGTGGGGAACGGAGTGGAATAGGAGAATGAAGATAAAGCCGTGACAGAACTGATGACAGGACATAATTTGTTTGTTGGTCGAGCTTGACCTAGCTGCACGACATGTGCCTTTGACACTGCTTGCTTCAAAAGCTCTCATCTCCAACATGGAGCACCATCACAAGTTCAACAAGAAAGGACCAGGGATGGGAGTGTCGTTCAAACCACCGTGCTGCTACAGGCTGATGCGAACTTCAGCGTGATTGGCAGATTCCACGCTTCGGTATTTCCATATTTACCTCCATGCCTGTACCGCAGCAGATATTCTAAGGACACGATGTCCTAGAGGAGCATCAGGATCCCCTTAGAGGAGAAGTCCCCTTAGAGGAGCTTAAGATCCTTTAAGAAGCTCCCCGACCGTGTCCTGCAGCAAAACCGTGAGGACTCAGGATTGCATGTGGCCAGTGGACTGTGAAGAGACGGGGAATTTGGAGACCCTTGACTCGAAGAAGAGACCAGCGGTGTCGCTTCGATGGCACTGGCACCCCGACATGTCGATGGGGATCCAGTTGTCCAACCAACTTTGAGGGATTGTGCCAGTGATTGTGCCATCTATATACATCCATCTACTTCTTCAATCCGCGCGGCACACAGGCGGCGCCTTGGAGGGTCCATTTGGGCAACATCCTTCAACCACCAAGTAGTGCCCCACTGCGTCATGTCGCGTGGCGACTCTTCCAAACCAAACGCGCTGCCCTGAGGAGATGGCACTTTCAGGGTTTGGATGATGGATCCATACACCACCCAAAGACTTTTGACATGGTGTGACACACCATGACACACCGGATGTGTCTCAGCCGCCCCCTCAATGTTTGATGCTCCTCTACGAAGTATGCGCTGGTGCACGGGTTGTGTGAACTGAAGGTTCTGCGGATACCAGGTGTTTGTTGGATAGGCTTGGCTCCCAGATGCTCCCGGCTCCCAGGTGCTCCCAACTGCCAGGCCCTATACAGAGCTCTTCAAGTTGGCCATCTCGCGTGGGCTGCCCATGTCACCTGGTCACTCAAGCCGCGCGGTTGGCCACTCATTCCACTCCAAATTGGTGCCTCACAGTCGGGCGGTGGGCGACAGGTTTTGGATGGCTTAGGTGTAGCAGGAGCCACTTCGTTTGTGGTTTCTGGGGTGGTTTTTATTTGTATCACAGAATGGCACAACTGGAAGTGTCACCATAAGCATTTTGACACACCATGTAGGGTTCTTGCGCAGAATTTGTGTGTGCAGATTTGTAGACGTTCATATACTACCATATTGTACCAAGATGTACCGAGTTGCATGCATGATCCTTCACAGTTTGGGTATGTTTGGATTGTGATTCGTGATGGACCGTTTTGGGTTCATGAGCACTTGCCCTTCGGTATGGAACTTGGGCCCATCTCAGGCAATTCCTTAGCTGCCATAGTCGCACTGCTTCTTCCGAGGATTTGCGCGAACCCCGACTTCCGCTCACCGGCGAAGCCGGGCAAGCGGCAGGAATATTGCGCGGGCTATGTTGCGCAGCATTACGAGGAGCTGAGAGTGAGGTAGGTAGGCGGCCGTAGGGTCACCCATCCAAAACATCCCGGAAAAGAACGAGGAACGCACGAGAAGCATGGCCCCCTACTTATTCCACGGGGCGTGTCAGCTCAGACGTTTGCTTCGCATTTCTCAGACTGGACAGGGGCGCAGCTCTCCTGTTCCACGTGGACCGGAGAACGGCACCGAGTGTGACGTCTGTGAAACCCAGCAAATCGGGGTGACAAGAGAGGTGTCAAGCCCAGAGGTCACCGACAGTGACGATCATTTGCTCCCATGGTCCCATTTGGTCGACGTCACCTGCATAGCATGGCATGCCCAAAGACTTTGTTAGCTTTCCCTTCTTCAGCCTTCTTTCGCCGCTCGCTTCAAGGCCTCGTTATTTTTCTCCCATCCGCGGGCCTGCAATCTCAGGAGTTAGGTGGCGTGGTCCAGTACTTCGGAAAGCCTCACAGCCCTCACTTCGAAGCTGCCCGCAGGCGAGGTCGGGGCGCTGTCGTGGGGTGACCTGGAGCGAGAGGGAGTCCTGAGCTTACAGGTCAGTCTGCGGAATATGTCCACAAGAAAGGCTTAAACACACATTGGCACGGGGGGACGTCTCAACTAAGCAACTCAAGCTTCAGGGGACAATCTGGTGGATGTCAGGATGTCTCTTTATAGGTCGACGATGCTTTGCTGCCCCATGTTCCCACCCTGCGCTGACTGGGGCAGCATGCAGCAAGGGAGTGCTGGTTCCTGTATGAGAGTCAAGAAGTTGCTTGGATACCAAAGGCAAAAGCTTGAGAGAGATTGAGACAGTGAGAGAACGAGAGGGAGATTGACAGAGAATGATCTTCCCAACGCTCCCTCAAGGACCATCCCTCCGGGCGATTGGAACCCGAAATCAACCATGGAACCGTTGCACCCCATGCTGCACACGTCGGCACCTCCAGCGATGAGGAAAGAGCGCCCGGCCACTGAGGTTCTTGGGCGACGTGGCTTGGAACGTGTCTGGCAGTGGGTCAAAACAGGGGGATGCTGGTCAGAATCGATTTACCATGGTTTACCAGACGTGGCCAAGCTTTACCAGGACTTGGATCTTCAGGTTTTCACCCACTTTGGCCCTGGGGCTCCTGGCCCCTTTTGGCGAGAATCAGAACAGAATTGACCATTGCCATGTCAGTATATAACTCGTGAGGACTGAGAAAAGAGATGAAAAGAGTTTGGAGGAATGGCCACTGCAACAGACACGACACATGGGACTTGGCATAGTTAGAGTGGATTGAGAGTAGATGGCACAAGTTACCGTTCCCCGAAGTTTGGTGTGTCTTTTCAGCACCGGCATTTGTCTAGGACATCATGGGGTGCCAGTGGCATCGAATCTTTGAAACCACTGTAGCTACATTGGGGTGGTTGTCCCGGGGTCAATGTAGGCAAGTCCTCCAGCCGTGCTTGGCAGCTGCAACTGGCAGCTCCCAAGCCTATGTTTGTGTCTCAGTTCCTTGAACAGCTCAATTACTTGCATATTAGGAGAGTATGACCTTCCGGCTGCCCCCATCCTGCAACAGTCATAGCACTTTGTGTCATTAAGAACAGCATGTATCACAAGTATATAACTGTTTAGATTGGCTATATGATTATGCTTCGCAAACAAAAGCCACATGCCAAACCATATTAAGAAAGAAACATGACCCTTTGACTCAGCATCCTTCACTCCAGGATGGCTGTCCATGTCGCTTGCTTTCCAACCCAGGTGGCTGCGTGCCACGTGGGTGACTCCATGATCCACGACGTGGCTGGAGCTCGTGCGGCTGCACTGCCGGTGGTCTTCGTGGCGGGAGGCATTGAGCACCAGGAGACCGGAGACCTGAAGCGCTGGGGGACCTGGCGCTTTTGCGGGTCCCAAAAAGGAAAGCAGGACGTGAAGAAACGGTGTTTGGCGAAGCAAAACTGGGGAATGGGGGTTGATTCTTTGGGGCGCAAGGTCAATGTTTGAAACTCCTGGGGTCTTTGGGCCTTCGAAAGAAAGAGCGCAGGCAGACTGGCTAGAGTTGCCTACCAGGAGCTGGGCATCGAGCCGGGGCAGACGCCCACGCCGGACGCCTTGCTGCGTTTGGCCGAGCGGTATGGCATCCAGCCGCTCGTGCAGTTGGGGAGTTGGGGAGGTGCCTCCAAACGTGGCGATTTCAGGCCTCGACGGTGGCATCCGTGTGGAACAGTGGCATGCGAAAACGATAAGTACTGCGCTTAGGCAAAGCCTGATTTTGCATCCGTGGACCCTAGAGGATCCACCTTTTCTGAAGTTTTGCTTGCGGTGATTGTTCTAATTTTTGCTATGGGTGAATCCTCATCTGAGGATGTTGCTTCCCGGTTCTCTGTGCAAATCCAAGTTTTGCCTCACACCGCCGGCCTTGGGTATTGAGGCCAGACCATGTGGTGCCGCTGGCCATGTGGAATTGAAAAGCGCAGTTGGTGCTGCGGGGCGTGCGAGGTTTACTGGTCGCTCCGTGGTTTGGTCACAGGTTTGGTTTGTTTTGATGGTCCCTGGTGGAGATGTTGCAAGGTTTGATTGATCGGCTAAGAAGTAAGATACTGACAGTGATACTGACTTGTCAACACTAGAGGCTTTTACTTGAAGTAAGTAAGGAATAAAAAGTGACCCACTAGACTTCTCAGCAGTTCTTGGTTTGTGAGCCAGAGAGCGAGCTCGCACGACCACCGGTCCAAACCCTTCTGACAGGTCGAATCCGGCGTGCAGGTCCGAGCGCATTTTGGGAGTCTCCCATTCTTTTGCCCAACGGTGTATTTCAGTGCCATCTTGTAAACACCCAATATAGAGAGAGGAGAGCAAACTCGAGTCTAAAGTCACCGATTTTGCATTCCCAAACCCTCCTTTCCGGCCAAAAACATCCCTGCGCGGGCTTAACCAGCCCCTCTTTTCTACCAAAAAATGCAAAAAACACTACGCAGGCCATTCAAATCGCAGTTGCGTTTGTTGTCATTTTTTGTTTGATTTATGAAGTCCAAACGCTCGAAACCTGTGTTTTGAGTGCCAAAGCTTTGATAAGTAGCATTGGTGGCATCAGGCATTTTTCTTTGCTCGCCACACAACATCTTGGCAAACATTGTTTGCCCTGTTCTCTTGAGCAAGTTCCTTTTTTTGCACGTATCGCCATTGGAATTGACGAGTGTAGTGAAGAAGCAAGGGGTTCACTTTCTTGCTCTTCGTGCGCGTTCGCAACGATCCTGGAACTTGCCCTTTCTTAAACGAGAAAAGAGGACCAGACAAACGAATTTGCAAAACCAACACCAGACACAAAACCAGCGGGTCATCCTCCGACATTCGAACCAAATCAGTCCTCAGTCCACATTCAACCTGTAGCATGCAACCTGTAGAGCAAAATCATAGAAAAGATAGAAAAGTAATGAAAAGTAGAGAACCTGACATCAAGCAACATGTAGAGAACCTGACAGCGTGCAACATGTAGAGAAACATTATCGAAAATAGGAGCCGGTTAAGCACCCGCTAGCATAAACAATCATAAACATGCCTACATTGACCCCGGGTCTACCACCCCAATGTAGATCAATATGCCAGTCGTTTCGCAGTCGTGCTTGACATCGCAGCTTGGTTTTGGTGGACGACTGTCCCCCTCTTGTGGCGCCTTGTCGAACAACCGAGGTGGGAGCGACTGCAATGGCTTTTGGACCGGTGGGAGCGGTGAATGGAGTTCAGGGAGTGCATCCAAGAGTCCGATCGTGCTGAGAAATGTCATGTGCCGTCCGACTGGGGCAGGGCGAAAAGTGGCCTTTCAAGGACCACGGATTCTTAGAAAGCAGGGTTTGGGAGCAGGACTCGTTGGGTTGGATCGCTGCGGCCTCCAACAGTAGCACATTCTTGCATACATAGGGGGACATTCAAATAATAGAAGATGATAGGATCTCCAGTAGTCCCTCCACTCCCACGGAAATGCATTGCTGCACTGCATGTCCGTTCTTTTCCATTACACTGTTCTGCAGGAGCCGCTACTTGCGCGAGATGTGGAGCGACAGGTCTTACACCTGGGCAACGGCAACTCGCCCCTGCCGGAGGCGGAACGCCGCACCGCCGCACCGCGCGGTCTCCACGTGGACCATATTATATAGCTTAAGGCAATGATTGTTTACTAAATTGGTTGCTTCATGGAGGGGATAGCTCCTGAGTGAACAGCCAATAAAAAGCTAGGGTCCGAAACCATTGCCACGGCGAAGCCCAATGTTTGGACTCATACCCAACAGAAAGAAATTGGGTTTCGAAGACGAGAGAGAACGGTGTCATGGTACCATGGTACGGACCCCGCCTACTGGTTTGGAGGACTGGGCGACGCATCATTTGGACCCAAATCACTGGACCTTGGACCAGGAACTGACCTTTGTTTTGTTTGGGGGAAAAAAATGGTAAAATGGGGGTTCTGGGGAGTTTTTGTTCATCAATCACCTCGTTGATTTTTTTTGCCTCGCTAAAATTTGTGTTGAGGCTTTGTCGTTATTCTCTATGGGGTTTCTGGGGAAAATTTGGTGCTAAAAATCACTCTGTTCGGAGATATTCAACGAGGAGGCTGATTGTTGTTGCTGTTTTGTATTTTACCTTGCTTGGGCAAGATGCACCCATGATCTTCACCTTCTTCATTTCACTGTCGGGATGCCCAGACGTAGTGGGAGCGCAATGGATGAGAGTTTGGTTTAAACAAGTTTCATTTTTGGCAGCATTGCGGTTGCTCTTTTGTCGTTTCGTATCAACATCTTCCTTGATGCTTCTTGAGTAGCACTTTTTGGTTCAAGTGTGGAGGTTGCAATCTTCCAGGAAGCCATGGCCACGACCGAAGTTATTGTGCGCAACAAGTCTGACTGGCGTGTTTTTGTTCAGGCCAAAGATCAGGAACCTTTCTATTTGCCGAAGGGTTATGAGGCGGTATGTAATGTGAAGCCCGGCAAGTGGGTGGATATTGCCTATTGTGACATGAAGGGCGCCGTGTGGAGTACAACTTATCAGCACCTCTGTGTTCCATACAAATGCAAGCATGCGTCTGTGACCTGGGAGGTGGAGGACACCACGGGACAAACAACCTGGTTTTGGCCAGCGTTTCGACTCCGCTTCGTTGTCGGAGTGAGGGTTGTCACGAAAGACACGTTTCGGAATGATTACCCCGACCCACTCAGAGAAGCCAATGCGCACCATGCAGTCTTCCCTTGAGCCACAACCATTTTTTCAAAGGCGCGGCGTGGTGTGGCGGGCAGTCCGCGCAGTGTAAAGATTACCACACTGAAGAAGACGCGAGCACCTTGGTTCAGTTTTAGCTGTTGAAGTGCTAGACTTACGTCATACCTCCTCTCGCCTCAATGGGTCGAGGAAAAAAAGAGCCATCCCACAATCGCGTCAATTGCATGTTTGCTGTTGGTGGCATTTGCTTTCGTCCATTGACGTTTGTCAGAGCTTTGCAACAGCACGGTTGCTGGTTTCAAATCCAAATACTGGGGGAATTGGAGAAACACAACCCACTGGAAAGGACAATCGTATTGCTTGACTTCATCATTGACACAACAGTGTTGTCAGTTTGACAAAACGGAGACAACTTAACTCGATAACCCATATTTTATTTGAACAAATTAGATAAAACTGCGACTGTCACAGTTGATGCTACTCTCACCACTTGATTTGACTTGTAGGCATTTTGTAGGCATTTCTGCCTCAAGACTGTATAGAGTGTTTCAATCTCGGTTTTGTCAGCCTTGCCTTTTCGCAATGCCTGTCCGTGGAGTTCTCAAAGGTCATCTCAAGAATGAGGCGGGTGTCAAAGCGCTCATCAAGCGGTCGGTCTCCAACATCAAACCCAAACTTGACCACTACGAGTTGGTGAATGACCCTCCTGCCACAATCCGTCCAATCATCCAACCCATCACGGAAAAGATGAACGCTTGGAAGGCTCGTGTCAGCGGAGGTGATGGAAGTGTCATCAACCAGTTCCTTGAGAGTTTGCCCGACGAAAAGCTTGCGGAGTTGAAGAAAATATTTGAGAAGAAAGGTCGTGGTCAAAACACCGAGGACAAAATCTTGGACAGTTCCTTTGTGGTGTTGAGTGATTTGGATGAAATCAACTCCTTTATCAATGAACTCTTCAGGGTCAAGGCGGAAGTCATCAACACCTACACGGAAATCTATGCCAGAACCTACAACAACAGTGCCACTTCATCAGGAGAGGTTCAGTTCAACAACGAGCCTTTCCTTGAGGCACTGAAGGATGTGATTTCCTACAGGAAGAGGTTGAGACGAAATTCGCAAGAGGAGGTTTCAAATGACAACCTCATTAACGGCAATGCCACTGAAGACGCCAATCGCTGCGTCCTGATGTAGGCGATTGTGGATGAGGTTTTGATGCCGAACCCCAGCAGGGATGGATACCCAAACAAAAGTATCAATGATACCCAAAACCAAGTATCAATGATACCCAGAACCAAGTATCAATGATACCCCGATACCAGTATCCAAGTATCACTGATACCCAGAACCAAGTATCAACGATACCCAGAACCAAGTATCAACAATACCCAGAACCAAGTATCAACGATACCACGAACCAAGTATCCAAATACCAATGATAATGAGGGGTTGGCATTGCTTGCCTAATTCCTTTGACACCAGCACAGACACCATAGACATTGTTAATTCTAAGCACTTTTATAAGTCCATTCACCGACAGTGGAAAGACCAATGAATTCATTTACGCCGTTGCCAGTGGAAAAGGAAGACTTTCGAGCCACTTTTTGGTAGGACTCCCTTTCAATCTTTTGACAGAGACTTCAGACAGAGTTTTTTTGCAAAACCATCTCATCCGCCACGCTCTGAGGTTAAAAAGACAACATCTTGAAGATGACCATTGAGGGGTGAAGGGAAACGTTAGTCAAAATATGTTCAAAGAGTTTGAAAAAATTTGTCAGTCTTGAAGCATTTTGGCATTGTCTTTTTTCACTCAGAGTTGTTGGGAAAAGCCTGAACTCTATACATACAAACTCTATACACCGAGATACAAAGGATTTATATATATATGTATATATAGAAGATAGAAACTCATATAATACACCCTTCACTTCATCTACCCTGCTTGTCAGAAGGGTCGTCTTCAAGAACATCAGGGATTTTGGGAGGGTTGGCGTGGGCGTCGGCGTTGCGTTTTTTTCCTTTTTTACTTCTTTATTTATTCAAAAAAGAAAGGACGAAGAAGAGAAGAAGGGAGGAGTGAGTGATGGTGGGGAAGCGGATTTCCAAACGCAACCCCCACACTCACTACCTACCCAAGACTTTTCGTCATTCTGTTTTGATATTTTTTATATAAGTAAAAAATGGTTGGAGTAGGTTTTTTCAGTCGGGATGGCACTGTATCGGGGAGCATCGGTGGCAAAGAGACCCCACAAGCAAACCCATACGGTGTCATCCTGACTGTTTATATGGTTATATAGTATCTAGACGGCTCAAGAGTGTAGTGAAGGGTTCAGTAGTGAAGAGTGAAGGGTTCAAGTGAAGATTTCGTAGAAAGTGGCAGGAACAGAACTTAATGAATGAAGGTTTTGTGGAGCACTTCACAACTACACCTTTTAAACACTACACCCAAAGACACTTAAAGAAATGTCGCCTTATGGAAATAAGATAGTATGCCCTGTTATTTGTATATTGACGGAAAAAAGCAAGAAATGGATGAAAACATCTTTGACCAAATGGCTGAAGCCCTCCATCAACCAACCACACCAAAAAACACACCCACAGCAAACAGTCGTTGGAAACAGCCAGAGGCTCTTTTAACGACTTCAAGAAGTCGTTATAAACCCGACGGAACTTATGACAAGAGACCATTAGATGAAGATTACTTCAAAAACTATTATCAAAAGAAACTCAAAATTCCGTTCAAGTGTCCCGACTGCGGACGCACCATTTCATCAAAATCAAATTTGTCAAAACACCGCCAAACCAACGTCTGTATGAGCAACCGAAGGCACTGACGAAAAATGAATAACCTTCTCAACAACATCAACTTTTGTTGAGAATGTTTGCACGTTGAGGTTCAACCCAAGTCCCCAAAACCTGAACCCCAGACCCCAGCCCAAAAATACTTAAAGAAATATTGCCTTATTATATTAAGGAGTATATGGCAGAGGGTTCAATGTTGAAAGAAGTTTATAAGGATGACAACCAACATCACCAACACAATCCTCAACCGTCAAACCACCCATCAACCATACCTCAAATCCTACTTAAAGAAACATCGCATAATAATAATATAGACCTTACTATTATGACAAGTCGTTCAGAGCAGATTGTATTAGATTACCTACTTACATCCAAAAAGGGGGAAGTCCTCAAAGAGAACGGAAGAGAACTAAAGAAACTCAAGATAGGTGAGAAGACCTACAACTATGACAAGACAAAACCACCCACCGACAGACTGAAACGAAAACTCAACACTGTTAAACAAACTATGGGATACAAGAAATACGAACTGGAAACAAAACGTGGTATTAAATGGACGAGACTGGACAAGAACAAAGCACTGGTAAGCATACAAAAGAGGTTCAAAGCAGACATCACCGACGAACAATCTGCTTTCAAGAACTATGTGAATTCATATTCCGTCAGTAATATCAAAGTCAAGGGCGTTAAAGCCCTTCAGTATCTCAAATACCAAGACCAAAGACTGAAGGAATACCTGAACAAACATAAGGGAATGAAGATTATGATGGAAGCATACGGGACATTCAAAAGCAAGAAGACCGACGAAGATATTAGACATACAATAAGGAGTAGAAGATATGAAATCACCAACGCAGATGAGATAGTGAGTGTCCTTTCTCAAATAGCCACCGACATAGAGTTTCAAACAGACAGAATGGAATTGAGTGAGAGCGGATTAGTCATCAAACAGTTTGACAAGTTAAGATTTCACTATGACAAATTCAATCCTACTCGTGGTGGTTCATTCCTTCCATTACCTAAATGGGTTCAGAGCAAGAAAGCCTGTATCAACATCCAAAACGAAGACAACAAGTGCTTTATGTATTCCGTT